TGGATAGTAGATTAGTAGTTAGTAAACTTTCAAGGGAAAAAAACCTTTCAGCCAATTTGCGGTTGTGCTGCCGTTACAGATCATATTAAACAGGCCACAAATCTCTGGTTGACTCCTCTTAGGGCCGCATGCACTAACATTCCCGCGGGGAGGGGATCGCAGCTTAAAAGAAAGCTTTATATTTCGAAACTCCAGATACCTGGATTTCACGTTGTGTACCTATCCGTAAGTATTCCTATATTCCTATTGCCCTTCACTATGAACATGTTGAACAGGAGCGAGAAGCTGTACAAACCGCATTTTCCAGCTTTTGTATGATCCCTGATGATCCCTGGCGCTTTTCTTCAAAGTCATTTTTCTTTCTCCGAAGTTAACGAAGAATCTCCAGAGTTGTGCAGATTGTCTAACCCGACAGTGCTAAGCATGTTGCTGCTAAGAACAAATGATGATTTGAAGTCATGAAATTTGCGATGATCCACAAGTCGAAATTTGAGGCTTACCGAAAAATTCGGCTTTTCAAAAACTCATTTGTTTTCATCAGCAACATGCTTAGCAGTATTGTGTTAGATGTTCAGTACAACATTGGAAGGTTTTCGTTGACTTCGGAGAAAGAAAAATGACTTTAAAGAAAAGCGCCGGGGATCATCAGGGATCTTACAAAAGCTGGAAAATGCGGTTTGTACAGCTTCTCGCTCCTGTCCAACATGTTCATAGTGAAGGGTAGTAGGAATACTTACGGATAGGTAGACAGCGTGAAATCCAGATATCCGAAGCTTCAGGGTATGAAGCTTTCTTCTGAAGCTGCGATCCCCTCCCCGCGGGGATATTAGTGCATGCGGCCCTTAGACACTTACCTGTGTTTTCATGCTCCTGTCTCTGCCACAGTTATCTTTACTCCCTACCGTTCACTTTTTGTATGTTTACAATTGCCCGTTTTCTCGCCTTACCTGGAGCTTTTCAATTCCTAAGTTCTTGATGAAGAATTTGAATTGAATCTCCCTTCATTTGCTCTTTCCTGCTATTCCTTCCATCGAAATAACTCCTATTCCCTTTGAGAATCACTCTCCAAAATGTTGTTCTTGGTTGTTCCCTCTTAAGCTTCCATTCAGCTTATGTTTTTTTAAGTTCCACACGAAATTACCACAAAGTCTTCTCGAGTAGATCACCGTTTACCTTTTTCATATTTTTTCTAGTAAAAAGCCTGACTTTGACTCCACACTCTTAAAAAATCAGACACCAACTTTCGATGCATTCGCGTCCAGCACTTCTTTGCTCCACAAAGTTTTTTTTTTGCAGAAATGTCTACATTTTTGTGATCGCCTCTGAGGCTGAGAAAGCCTTGATTTTCTGGAAGATTCTCTTGGAGAACAGAAATCTCTCCGCTTGTCCATTTGATTGCGGTGGAATGGAGGTGAGCGCATATGCTTGATTCTTCGCTCTTCACAAAAATCTTGAACTCCTTTGTTGTGAACTGCGTCCCGTTATCCGAGACGATTCCCCGCGCATTTCCAGGTCGTGCGAATAGCAATCTGTGTTGTCTCGAATTAGCTGTAGTTGACGATGAAGGCATCTCAAACACTTCTGGCCACTTCGAGTAAGCGTCAACTAAGACGAGGTACATGCTATCATTCAGCGGCCCTGCCTAGTCAATGTGAAGTCGATTCCAGGGTTGTCTTCTACTTCCAAGAATGCAGCAACGTCTTCACTGTCGTTTTCGAGGCTATCTGACGAATCCTATAGCGGCTCTCTGAGTCTTCAATCTTTGTTGATGGCCATCAGTGCCATTCAGTAACTGGTAAGCAAATCCTCTCGCGAGCATCTTCATCTTTGTCATTCCAGGGTGTCCCTCGTGTAACTGCTTTAGAACCGCTTGTCTCAGCGAGGCCAGAATAACTATCTCTGACCAAAATACATACATCCGTTTTGCCCTGGTAAATTCTCCCTCAGTCACCAGTTTCCGACTTCTTCTTCGGGCTTTGAGCGGTCATGCTCCATTGCAGCATTCGTATAACCTGCGCAATGGTTTTGTCCTTACGGGATTCTTCCCCAGTTTGTTCCGGATTACTGGTAGCGCTCCTATAGCAGCTTGAACGGCTCTCATATTTTATATTTTCGCTATGACGACGTCTTCGGTTTGGAATGGCCGTAGAGAAATTAGTCGAGACAAGGCATCGGCTTGTCCGAAATTGGTCGTGTGGCGGTACTCCAGATCTAAGTCGTATGCAAGTACAATGAGCTTCCATCATTGCAACTTGTTCGTCTACACAAGCACCATCTTCTTGGGTTTAAAAAGGATTAGCAGCGGCTTCAATTCCTTCGGAGCAATCTGAAACGTCTCCCGTGCATATACGATGGAACTTACGAATTGCGAAGACCAGTTAGTCTTTCCTTCTCAATTTGTCAGTAGTTCCTCTCTGTGAGGTTTTGGCTTGCATGGCATATAACCTTCCTTGTACCATCCGCCATCTCGTGCAAGATCACCGCCCGATTCCATAATCTGATGCGTCGGCAGCTACCACCAACTGCAGGGTGTGGTGCAAGAGGAACGATAGTAATTGCCAGCCGCTGGTGTCAATGCACTATTTGCCTTCACAACTGGTAAACTGCAAATTTATAAAAAACTAGTTTGCTTATCCGGCTCCGCTCGGCTCTGTCAAAACACTGTAATAAAGTTCCCATCCCTGTCCCTGTACAGCCTTTCCCTGTGTCCACTTCTACACTTCATTTCTCGTTCCCTGTGTTGTTTTCAAAAACAGCATGCTCACTTGCCCCCCCCCCCCTGTGCCAACTACCAGCCCTTCAGCTCAAATTTTGAAGCAATCGACGAAACCGATAAAACTAATCGATAATTCCGATAACTAATATTGTATTCGGAATCGCCATGCCCACTTACCCCCCTGTGCCAATTTCCAGCCCTGTAGGTGAACTCTGCAAAAAAAATCGATAAAAATCGATAAAATCGATATCGATCGATGACAAAAAGTAGCCTATGACACCCGCCGGGGCCCGATGTGTATGTGTGCCAAGTTTGGTCCGGATCGGTTCAGAAATGGAATTTTCTATCCGGAACATACGTACAGACAGACATACAGACATACAGACATTCAGCTGTAATAAAATGATGATAATATAAAATGTAATGATTTATGTCCCATTTGATTTCATTTTTCTTTATAGTTTGTGCAGTGACTGACAGAGTGAGCATATGCATCAGAAAGTTCTCAGTTTCCACAACTCAACTTCTTACCTTGTTTGTCCGGTCTATAAAAACTCAAAAGAACTTTTGACTTCAAAATGGAAAATCCAAAAAAATCAAAAAATGCGTTTTCGACATCTATTTTCTTTCACTCTCCCTCAATATTTATAATAAAATTTTCCCAAAAAACTTGAAACAAATTAAATAACAGATTAATCACTACTACAGGTACTATCACCGTCTATGCTTGCTCCCTTCCCTTCCCCGACTGTTTAAGGCCCCGGGCAGACTTCACGCGATTTGATCGTCGCGACTGAATCGCGAGGAGACAACTGTTACAACATCATTCCATGCAGATCAACTTGCATTCGGTTGTGATACTTTTCCAGACCGAAATTTTTGAATGTGAAATGAAAATGAATGGAAATCTTGGCGATTTGGTCGCGACGATTAAGTCGCGTGAAGTCTGACCGGGGCCTAACGTGATTTTTCTGGAAGTCGACGAAGCAAAACGGTTTCGCCAAGGCGTTCGAGCTTGTACACTTATTAATGTGTCCCTTGAACTTTGGATTTTCAAGTAAGTATCAAGTTGGCGAAAAAGAAATGCGCATTTTGCGAGTTTTCATTTTGACGTGCTATAATTTTCCAAAAAAATCTGTATTTTTTGATGCCATAAAGATCATCAGAGGCAGCAGACCTTTCGCAATACAGCGCACGTCCACCTAAATCCATATCAGGGCTCGGCACAGGTGGCTTGCAAAGCAAGCTGGATATCGTTTTTGGGGAAAAAAGCAAAGGGAATATCGTTTTTGCGGAGGAGCATAACGCTGTCTTTCGATCTGCTGCCGGCTCGCTGCCGGCATGCCACCAGCAAATAAACAAAGGGTTTGTTTACAACGAAGTGAAGATGAAATGGCACCAAAATAGGTGCGTAGATAGGCAATAGGGACTGAAAACTATGTATGAAAATTTATGAAAAACTTATGTGAAATAGAGGCGTGGCCAACTTTTTTCGGGATTAGGTGGCTTTCAAGCCACCTGGATAGCCACCTGAGGTGGCTTAATGAAGAAAAAGTCATATATTTTTTCTCCTTCACATAAGTTCTCAAAACTTTTTTCATAATTGTATCCTTCATCCCCTTACTTATCCATAGAAACCTAAATCGTCTCAAACCCCCTCCTCCTTTTCCAGTTATAGGTCGCCAAATATTTGTGGAGCGATTTCACAGTCTGCTCCAGCGCACAATAGTGCGCTGGCGAACGCGGCGCCAAAGCACACTCTTTAAAGCATTCTTCTGTGTGTTTGCTTGTTCTGTTTGATCTGTTTGATCTCTTTCTTACTGTTTTTCGCATTCGTCCTTCTCTTAGGCCCCGGTCAGACTTCACGCGACTTAATCGTCGCGATCTAATCGCCAAGATTTCCATTCATTTTCATTTCACATTCAGAAATGTCGGCTGGAAAAGTATCACAACCGACTGCAAGTTGATCGGCATGGAATGATGTTCCGCCGAAGAGTTACTTCATTCTTTCTTTTGAAATGCAAGTTTTTTGCATGTTCGCACTTAGGCTTTGGTCATACTTTGCCCGTGTTACCGGTGTTGAAAGTGTTGCCAGTGTTGAAAGTGTTGCTGGTGTTGAAAGTGTTGAAAGTGTTGAAAGTGTTACCGGCAAAGTATGGCCAAAGCCTTAGAAATGACCTGAAATAATCACTGATGTGCTATGGCGTCCGGTTCTTTGTTCATCACGCGTTGATATCGTTTTTATCGCGTCTTGGCTGTATTCTTCTCAAAGTTCTATTTCAGAAGAGCTGATTCTATTCCTATTGGCTTGCGAGAACGCCTACCAGACGTCATGTATCCTTACGCACCTGGGTGAGCCATTGCTTTCCAATGTAGATCTTTAGCCTTTTTCTTGTTTTCGTTGTGTATTTTATCTTCACTGCTGAGAATCACTTTTGTTCTCAGTATCGGCTAGAGTTGACGCGATTTCGTTGCATGCCGATCTTTTTCTTTTTCGGTTGTGATATCAGTCGTGATTACGTTGGAATACTATCACAACCGAAATGCAACAAGATCGGCATGCAACAATATTGTTACAGTTGTCTTGTCGCGATGAATCGCGACGATGAAATCGCGTCAACTCTGCCCGAGGCCTTGAAGATTCTTTCAGAGCGCTAAAGTTTGTGGCATCATCAAAAATGGTTTTTCTCCTCTTTATATCTGGTATGACCGCGGTTTCGGGACAATACATCTACAAAGATATCAGCGGACAGAAGGTAGCTTCATAGTACGTCGTGATACCACTTCAACAAGTAGTTAAGGAAAGCAGCGGCGGGAGTAACTGGGGCATAAGCGTTCCCCCCGCATTTTACTTCATGATGTTCATTGTGGGCTGGGAATTAGTGAGAGACTTTCTTAAACTGCTGGTAAGTGTGAATCTTCATTTCACTGACGTTAGCGGTAAAGTTTTCCTTTTAGCTTTATGCTGTCCAGGGTCGAGTAAAAGGCCGCAAGAAACATCATCGCGCTGACACTGAGGATGCCAGGAAACGCCTGGATGATGACACGATGGACGGGTTTCATTGCCGCTGCTGCCGTTACGCCGCCTTGCGCGACTGAAACGAAGCGGCAATGGGCGAGAGCCTCGAGAGAGGTCTATTTCGCCCGTTGCCACTTCGCTCCAGTCGCATAAGGAGAAGGCGTACCGGCAGCAGCAGTATTCGCTCTAGGTCACTTCTCAGCCACCGTGAAGAAGCGGAAGTTTTGATCACACGTCTGTGAAAAGTCACCATTAGCTCTCTGTCCATTGTTGTTTTGAAAAATACTCTTTTTTTACCGGTAATGCTGTCACGCTAGAAGAAACCATCCATACAGAAGCTTTTTTTCGCGTTTACATCTAGTAACTTCGTCGAAGCCTTTTCACTTACTCTCCTTTCGATCTCGAAGCATTCGATCTCATTTTCACACTTTGCATGCATTTTTCAAAATAAAGCTTTCTGTTTAGCTATTGTAGTATGACAAAGGGGGTTTCGTAATTTTTTGGGATTCTAGGGGGGACTTCGTTTTTTGCATTTTCAACTAGCCACCTCGTGCCGAGCCCTGATCCATATCGCTAACGGGAGGAAAACTTGATTGATATCGATTGATACGCAAAAAAGCTTTTTTCTGATTTCTCGTTTTTAACTGATCATAACTCCCTTCAAACTTTGCTAGTATAAATGATAAGTAGCCTGTCTTGTAGCCGCAAGCCATAGTAGAGGAGGTGATGGGAATGGCTCAAACAACGAAGATTTACAAAAAGAAAAAAATCATCGAAAATTGTCAGCTTTTTTCAAGAAGTCGTTGGCCTCAAGGTCCCAAAATACAAAAAATTTCAATTTTCTGCGTACTGAGCAGCTACACGTTTTTGCAAAAACTGCCAACAGGAAGATTACCCTTACACTTACGAAATGAGCAGAGCTTTGGCAATTACTTTTTTCAAAAAAATTCTTTGGGTCACAGAATGATCAAAACGATTATCCATGTTGAGGCGCCGATATCTCAGTCTAACAAGGGAACGATCCCAACTTAAGGTGGCGAATTGGAATAAACCGCATACCATTAGATGCGTCTTGATAGCTGATTCCAAATCTACCTTCCATATCTGCGACAACGTTATCTCAAAGAAGTTATGAAAGGTTAAAAATGTGAAGTAGCAGGGGGTTTGATGCATAATTTGCTTTAAAATCCAACTTGGAAGACTAGCATCATATTGAGTGTACTGACTTCACGAAATGCTCACATTCAAAAGAAACGCAAATAAATGTTTTTGAACAGCTAAAAAGCAACTGAAGTTCTTTGGTAAAAGCTATGAACAATGAAAAGTCCAAATTTGGCAAATATACAGCGCAATACCTCAAAAATTAGTTGTTCAAAAACACAATCTGTGTTTCTTTAGAGTGTGAGCATTCCTTGAAATCAGTACACTCAATATCATGCTAGTCATACACTCCCAAGTTGGATTTTGAAGCGAATTATGCACTAAAACCCTCGTTACTTCACGTTTTTAACCTTTCATAACCTCTTCCACATAACGTTGTCGCAGATATGGAAGGTAGATTTGCAATCAGCTCATCAAGGCACATCTAATGATATGCGGTTCATTCCAATTCGCCACCTTAAGTTGGGATCGTTCCCTTGTAAGTAATTTCAGAGAAATACTAAAGTATTTTTTATTTTATTTTCGATCACTTAAAAGTGCTCTGCTAATTCTGCTATCTACTTGGAGCGGTTAGAAAACAACGCAGTGCAACAGCATACCGTATTTTAGTAACAGTAATGCAATAGAGGTCAAATTACACAACGTCGTCAACTCCATAACTGTAGAATATCTACTTTTTTTAGCAATGCTTTCAGTTGAGCTGCTGATTCACGGCTAAGAGAGACGGTGGCAACTTGTTCAGTATAGAAGCTGCTCGATAGAAGAAATTTTTGGACTGTAACGAAATGTTGTACCTTCCAAACGTGGAAACAGACAGGTTGAGAGATGCCCTGCGTTCACTGATAGGTCGAAAAACCCAATATTTACTGGGTCTCAAACCTACCTCGGCTCGCAGCACTTTGAAATCCTAAGAATATCAGCCAAAAACTTCCTGTAGAAGAGCGTTTTCAAACCTACCCTAATTTCACGCGTACGAGACGCGGGGGATTTTCTTCTAGAATCCGCCAGCTCAAACACGCCATAACACTTCGCGACCAAAGAACCCTATACCGCGCTCCGTATTGCCTGAGAGAATTGAACAGTTTAAGGTTGGCTTTCCGAAACACATTGAAGCGGTTGAGCGGCTTATTTGAAAAATCGAAAAGGTGCGCCTCGTACGCGTGAAATTGAGGTAATTTATAGATTCTAGTTTCATAGTTTAGCAAGGCGGAAAGATATTCTGGATTGAGGAGAGCACGATAAAATACAATCCTTGAGAATGTTCTTTGAATTTTCTCAATTCCATGTCTTTTTTCAATGTAGGATTCCATACAAAGCTGCAATATTCTACCACTGGCAGAGCAAAAGTTTTATAGATTCTCACCAGAAGTTCGGGGTCACAAGACTGAACAGTGCTCATCAAGCATACAGTGTTCGAGTACCTCGAGATGAAATTTCATCTACGTGATTTGAATATTTCAACTTAGAATCCCATAAACACCCAGATCTTTCATCAAAAATTTGCACTTAAGTTCAAAGTTATCCCTAGGATGAAACGGCGTTCTGCCAATGGGGACTGTGCAGCTCTTGGCGTATTTTACCTTGATATTCCATCTACTTGCCCAAAGCATCATTCGAGAGAGCATTGCGGAGTGCTACATTAGCTCTATCCTTATCATGCTGGTCATAAGCGATATAAATTTTAATATCATCAGCGTACGCAGCCATTCTGATTCCCGGCTCTATGGTGAGGAAGTTTGCTAGGTCAACAGTATATACAACAGATAAAATTGGCGACAGGATGCTGCCTTGTGGAACCCGTGATCTGCATGGTCTTGCCGCAGAAATTTTATCGAGGATTCGGACAGAAAAAGTCCTGTCTTGATCCCAGGCTCTCCAACTTGGCCAAAAGCAAGTTATGATTTACTGTATCAAATGCTTTACTTAAGTCGAAATAGACTACATCTATTGACTGATTTAAGCTTAACGTTTCTGTCCAATCAACCTGGACATCAAGAAGCTGTGTACCTGAAGATCGGCCTTGCAAAAATCCGTGCTGCTGATCCGGGAGACATTGCGTTTTGTCCACCCACTTCAGCAAGTTTTTTGCAATGATCTTTTCAAGTAGTTTGCACGATGTAGGCAAAATGCTTATCGGTCTGTAATCAGGAAATCTGGGGTTGGAGGTCTTAGGCAGAGGGGTGACCACAGCGGATTTCAAGACGAGGAATTTCTGCCACCATCAGGGAAACATTGAAAATGTGAACAATGGGGAAGGCCAATTCATTAGCGAACATCTTGTAAAAGATGGCTGGAACATCATCGGACGTTAACGATACCGCTGGCTTTACTTTCCTCAAAAGTTTTCTTATCATAAGGGGAGCAATTCTCAATGGGGGACAAGACTCCAAAGATCTGCTCCTAAGTACCGGACACGAGGCAACAGGATCTGAGAAAACACATGAGAATCGATCTGCAAGACTTCATTAAAGATGGAGGTATGGTAGATATTACCATCACGTCCTGTAGAGGACCGGTATACCTGTTTTCTTTCCAATGTTTTTCGACATACGTCCAAAAGTTACGTCCGCAAGCTCTCTTAGTCATTATTTTTTCTTTCTGTCCTAAAAAGCGTCTCAGCTGATACGGCTCCTTGGTAACATTTTTATATTCAGTGTCGCAAGTATGCATAAGGGCCGGGCATACTTCACACGATTTCAGTCGCGACGCGATTTGGCAATATTCCAATTGTCGATAACTCACTGTAGGCACTTTCCAAATGTACAGAAGATAAGGCATTTTATCAGTCCACATTTATACACACTGTGCATGTGCAGTTTGCTAGTGTCGGATCTGAAAAATTCTGGCGAATCGCCAAATCGCGTTGCGACTGAAATCGCGTGAAGTATGCCCGGCCCCATAGTTTAGACAATTTCCATTACTTACGATAGCTGTACTTACAAAAAAATGCCTTCATTCGCGCTTGGATTCTGGCCAGAAGAGTAAATGCAATGAGATTCTGGTTTTGAGTGCGTTTGTGTGAAGCTCTTTAGCGTTTTAACGAATGAGGCAAGAAGCTTGATCCAAGCACCATTGGATATAGCATGAGAAGAGCTTCTTGATAATATTAGGTTGTCCCAAAAGTTTTGTCGGTTTTTTTCAAACCACTGTAAAACCACGCTCAATGAAGATTTGAGTGAGTTTCGACGTGCATTCGATGCAGCTTTTCCTCCTCTTTCTTACGGATACACTTTCGTACCATAATCTTGTATGCTTTTTTTGATAATTGCCAAAATTCTCCACCTGCCAATTTTACCTGCTTAAAGTTAAGCTAATTTTCAAAAATTTCATTACAAAGTTTCGAAAAAGACTATGTATGGGTCAAATAGAGCAACTTTCGTGCTACAAGTTCATATTTTTAAGTCTCCTAATTTGCTGATTTTAACTCCAAAAAATTATTTCCCGGAGGCCTTGGTTTTTAGCAAAGTCATGAAACGCGTAATTGCAGCAAAAGCATGAAATCTTTTGAGTTTTTGCAAATTCAAACTTGTTTGTTATTCAACATCATTTATGCAACATAGCCAAGTTTGATTTGCTTCAAAATCAGTTTTTTGAAATTTTCGGTAATTTTACGTGATAAAACGTGTTCAAGAAGCTGCGGTTTTTCTCAAATAAATAATTATTACGGACATTATAAACGTGGCGCACGTAATCTAAAATAGGTACAATGTAGCCAAAGGTTTGCCCTACATAACAGTCACCAGCGCTCATCGAAAATATCAAACCAAAAACTTTGAAAATTCAGGAAATTTTTGGCGCTACTGTTGAGGTGCTCAGAAAGCCATGGCGATAACATCGTAAAGACGGTGTAGATCAGGGAACAAATATAGCTATAAGAAAGAGGATACAAAAATGAATAGAATGACACCTAGGCCGTCCATGGATTGGTGTTCTGTGAGGTTTGGTGAGCGATGAAACCGACAAAACTTTCGGGACAACCTAATATGTTAAGCGTTTTAGAAAAAAAAGGACTTTTGGTAGACAAAAGAGTGGACAGAAGTTGTCCTGAAACCAGGGCTAGAAAAAAGCGCATTATTTTTGCACCGACTAATAACTCATGAATCCGATGATTTTGTTTACAAAAGCATTTCTTCTGTCAACTCTCGGATTGTCCGTATTCCGTTCTCTCTCAAGACTTTTTTTTTGTTTAAGGTTGACGTTGAAGAGAAGTCAGAAAAGAGATCCATGATCAGGTTACGAAATGATTTTCAAATTTTTAAGAGGTCCATGATCAGTTACAAAATGGGTTTTAAATTTCTAAACTTCTGAGCTTTGCGGGAACTGTGACAATCTTCCCATTCCGTTCTCAATTTTCCAGCTGTTTTCTAAGCAGGCTGACCATCTGAAATCTGCCGTAACGCAGTTGTCAAAAATTGATTTTATTCGTGTTTGGACTTTTAGATTTGAAATTTAAAAAAATCTTCTCTACATATCCAAATCAGAAAAACAAATCCAGAAATTCACTAGAAGACACTAACAAGGGAAGGATACTTGATCGAAGTGGCGTTTTATTATGAAATGTATACTGTTTTATAGAGCTTAGGACGCTGATTCCGAATCTGCTTTTCATATCTGCAAAGCGCTTTTGGTAGAGAAGTTATGGAAATTTGGAGCAAAAATTCGAACGCGCGGCTACCATAAATTCATTCAAAGTACAATCTATGAACTCGAATGGGGCTATGATCACTACCTGGTCGTTTTGTGCAATAATACCTTCAATCTGACAAGCTCTTGTCAGTCATTACTCCTTTGAAGCAACGGAAAGATTTCAAAATCTGTTTTTACCTTGGCCAAATCATTGAATTTTTACCAATAAAAATTCCCAGAACTTTCCTCTCAGAAGCGCTTTGCAGATAAGGAAAGCAGATTTGGAATCAGCGTTCCATGTTCTATAAGACGGTGTCATTTCGTATGGAAACCCCGCTTCGACCAAGTATCCTTGCCTTGTAAGAGCTTATAAATGCATGTGCACACTTTGTCAATCAGTGCAATATAGAAGGAATAAACTAAATTAAAAATGGGACAGAATTTATTACACAACTTACCATTGATATATCTGTTCGTTTGTGTAGCAGCTGAGTTAGGGATACGGTTTCGGAGATAAAGAGCAGGATTTATCTTTGCCAGACACATAAACGATGCTTTCATCTGAATCCGTCGATAACCTAGTGCTTCTGAACTTTCCGAATACTTATCACAGAACTTCCTGACGGCTTCACGGGGACTTTCCGAAGTGACCCGAGGAAAGTTCCCCACAACCCTCGGGGAGTTCCCACAGATTGTTTGAGTTTTGCATCCCACCAATTACCTAGGCATTAGCACATATCTTAAAAAGTGTCGTAAAGATGCTGTAGTGCAATATACGGATCAACTCACAGAGGAAAGATTGATGGGCAAATATAATATATGCTGGTTTAACGTTACCTTTCTAAAATAGAAGGAGTTGTTTGCATTATATTTTATCACTCTCCGTAAAAAAATTTAGTTTGCTCTGCAAAATCTATAGCAAGCTGTTTTCCCGTCGTCAACGTCTTTGTGTAATGACGCTTGCTGGCAACGTCACGCTGTGGTTAATCCCTTGACTACTATCGTGGCCACTTTTCTGTTTCTTTCAAAAGCATGAATATGCGCATCCGTAGAGAACATGAACTTTTCAGTAATGCTCCGATATTTACGCAATGATTTCCTAATTTTCTTTCGGACACTCCACAACAAATTGCGTGCATAGCGCGAATATACAATTGTTCATGACAAGAGATGCCGCAAAAACTCGGGGTTTGAACTCGCTTTACACTTTTTGCGAAAGCGACAACTATGTGAAATCCTGAGAAGCTCACTGTCGCTCTCTTCATCAAAGTCGTAATAGACGATTTTCTCAGAGCTGAGGTAAGCTTTACATGAAGCGATGGAAGCGAATTTCGAGAACTGTTTTCCTATTCTTCTATCATAGCCAACTCCCTGCCACTGAGACTGGCTGATTTCTATCGTTTGTTCATGGTTTCATTGTCCTTTTTTTATATATGGGGCACCCTGAGTGTACTGAAAATAAAATATAAAAAATTGCATAACGTGGACTCAATGTATGTCAAGATGATCCGTATTTTGCACCAAAGTTGTTAAAAATCATTTACTAAAATAAATTAAAATATCATACAAAATCATTAAATCATAAAAATCATGCAACAAATTTGTCTGGTACAGTATAGCCTCAAAAGGGAACATCCCGTACTTTCCCATCCCAAATGTGCTCCTTAAGATTCCATATTCGCATACCACACAGATATGTACAAATATCCGCTAAATAAAAAAGCCAATATTTCCAAATTCTGGTGATTAGCTAAAAGGCCCAAGAAAGTCAAGTCTCACATTGGGTAGTGGTTTGTAGACTCAACTTTTCACTGAGAGAAACTCGTGCTGATCGGATATATCTACAGATAGTTATAAATCTTAAGTTTTTTGATCAGTCTAGAGGAAGTAAAGCTATGTGGATTGAACGACATTTTTTTGATAAAGTTTCTAGAATGCATAGTAAAGTAGAATCTGTCGTTGGCTGGGAATCTCAATACAAATTAGAACTTTCCTAAACATTGTGAAGAAATTTCACATTGCAGAACTTATGGAGCAATCTAAGAAGTTCGAATTTTGCTTACAATGCTTTATCTGCTATAATACATGTTGTTCCATCTAGCTTTACTTCCTCTAGACAAGTAAACCTAATTATCTTCACATTCACTGTGCAAAAAGAATAACGTTCATCATAGCTCTGATCCCCGAAGAGTAACTTTTATATACATTTTGGATTGGTTTCCACGATAATTTCTGGGAGTTCGTCCATATAAATCTTTTTAAAAGTTCATTTACATTGGTCACATAACTTTCTAAATCTTCAGTAAATTCCATACATCATTCGCCATTTACCACTCAGAATGCAGTGTGTTCTGTTATACAATCAGACATTCACTATTTGCTACCTCAATCAGTATTGAGCTGGTCACTGTTTTATGGGTTCTCGCGTTTCATTGGACAGTATGACAAAAAAGCCAAAACTGTTTCCAGCATTTTTTCATTTCCATGGTTGTGGCGGCGGCCCAGGAGAGTTCCCAAAGCCTCGCCGCCTTTCCTTGCAGGAATACTCAGCACCTCCAAGGCGCCCTTGCACTTCTTGCACGGCTCCGCCCATTTGTCCCTCTCATTGGCTAATCTCATTACAAGTTGTGCTTGGAGGATAGTTAAAGGCAGTGTCTCACCAAAGTTGAGGTCGCGCGGATCTTCACATATTCTATTATAGGGACCTCTCAATAGACCATTGCAACAAGTCCCACTCAATTTGACCCCCTCCACACTGAGAAAAATTCGCTCTAAGTGGTACGCGGAGAGCGAGTTGGTACGCGCGGACGACTCCTTCGGTTTCCCCCCTTACGCGTTTGAACATGTCCTTCCACTTGGCATCCACCTCCCCTCTGTTGTTGCCACTGTGGCTGAGGCTGAAGTTGGAAGGCACAACTCGTCCATGTTGCCTCCGCGGGGCCTCCAGAAAACGGAGTTTTTGGGAACTTCGCGCGATTTTAAGCCTATACAGTGCTAGACAGGGTCCGACAGGCTTGCAAAATGCGAAAATCTCGGCAACTAAATTTTGGTGAGACACTGCCTTTAAAGGCTTCTTTTAGAGAAGGATGGAAAGTGACAGACGAGAAATTATAAAGAATACCACTCGGGACATGTTGCCTTTGCTAATGGAAAAGAGAAATCATTACTGACAAGGGAATGGTCAGAAGTCGAAGTGACCAATCCATACAAGCTGCATACCATTAGATGCAGCATAAAACGCTGACTCTAAATCTGTCTTCCTTATCTGCAGAGCGCTTTTGTGAACGAAATTATAAGCCGTTGAAAGCCATTATTTTGCTGAGAAATTGTGCGTATAAAGCTCAAACTTAGCCGTACAAAGCCATTCCCGGCTCAGCGTTGGACTAAAACATGCAGCTAGGTCAGTCATATGACCCGTACCTGGAGGCGAGCTGAAAGAGCAGTAATGTGCCTAATTTCGCAATTTTTGTGTACGATAATTTCGCAGTAAAGGTGCTTATAAATTTGCCTACAAAGGCGCTCTGCAGATATGGAAGACAGATCTGAAATCAGCATTCAACGCTGCATCGAATGATATGCAGCTTGTATGGATTGGCTACTTTGACTTCTGACCATTCCCTTGTGAGCAATCTTTTGACCATGAGGCGTTAATGTGGGCATTGCTTTGTTGGAAACAAGGAAACCCGTTTTCTCGATTTTCAGCCGAGACAAGCTTATGTATATATCACATATGTGCTATGATTGTAAGTGTATCTATTAAGCAAGTTGCAGATGTTCCAAAATTCTTCTGGCAGAGTTTCGATTTTTTTATATGGAATATGTTAAATATGACTTAATGCGTTGACCTGTTTTGGAACAAGACTTGTATCACAACCAAGGAACTGAGCTTTCCATCATCTAAACCTAAATTCATGGCTTGTTCAAAACAAAATGGTTTTGCGCTTTAGGATGGTTATTTCTATTCAACTTTTCGTTTCAGAAAAATAAGCTTCCAAAGATAGCACTTCAAAGTTCCTAATTTTGAGTTGGGTGTAAATAGTATCATAGTGCCCATAGTTATCATCAAGAAATGTCTGTGACGTCCATAGCGATGCTCCATACCTTTAGCGTTGGCTAAAGGTACGGAGCTACGATAATGTGAAGAAAAGCTGTGGAAAATATTCCTTTGCGGAGAAAATTACCTTCTCTATACTAAAAACATTACTCAATGCTTACTTTGAGTACTGCAAGGCCTTCGTAGCTGTCAAATTATCTTTGCTTATAAAAGGCAATAATAAAGGTATTTGCCTTGCAAAGACGATTTTTTTTTACGAATTCTTGCATCTGAATGTCTATGCTATTTCGCAGGCCGCAGGCTCCGAACGGGGCCAGCGAAGGAGTGGAGCGATGAGCGGGGCTTCCTCTACGCGAGAGTGCGAGGGCCTTCTGGAGTGTGAATGTAAGTGCTGGAGGTTCTAGAAACTCCTGCGTCCCCTCCCATGGTTGTTACAGGTTGATACAAAGATATATTGACCGTCCCATCAGTGCGGTAACAGGATCCGTTCGCGAGGGGGGGGGGGAGGATGGGACGAAAATCTTTTCGGATTGCGTGGCGTTAGACACGCACTCCAAAAAATTGAGGTGCTAACTTGCTGGCCCATGTTTTTGCGACCGCGAACCTGTGACCTTAAATTTTATGGTGTCACAATTATTACCGTTCAAAATGTTCGGAGAATTTGTTCAGGTGAGTTCGCCATGCTAGAACTCCCTGAAAAGACTCTTGGATTTGTGAAGTAGCCGTCAAAATGTATATATTTAAAACTTGAATAGTAAATTCTATCAAACGATCTAGCATTCTGACAAGAACGGAAAAAGAAGCTGTAGGAGCTAAGCAGGTTGGACCGCATTCTGACCCGTCACTTCTAAATAAATCAATGTTTACTAATCCTATAGTCTGAACTTTTCATTGTTAGAAGCAGACAAGCTATGAAAATTCTGTTCAACAGCCATAAGCTCACCCCATAGGCACTGCAAAAACTGATTTTTCTTCGCAGAAACTGTTACTAAATTCTCCAGGAAAGTTGCCATTCAAAGGCAGCGTCCAGGCACTCACGTGGATTTTGAATTTGAGGCCCTATCTCATCCACGCCCAATCGTCAGCTCAAGCAGTGCTCTAACGGCTAAAATATTCCCCTCGAAACTGAGCCTAGGATCGTATTTCGCATGGATTCATGGCGCGACGCGTGGCCTCACGCGAATGAATCCATGCGAAATACGATTCTGGAGTCCAGTTTGGAGGTGTATATCTCAGCCGCTAGTGAGTCACCTGCGCTCTTGGGCAGTGCCTAGTTAAGGTCCCAAAATTACTTTTCATGTAAAATCCCTATAGGTCCAGATCTGCATGGATGCTGCCTTTAAGCCCTCCATTCTGAAGCTTAGTCTGCCACCCTCGTTGAGTATGCGGACTCAATATTCTTGAGGTAGTTTGGCAAACCAGAAGTTCTGAAGCTTAGTGTAGTGGATCTATCAGATTCATTGAGGGCTGTGCTTGATCTTCTGCGTAGACAATGTTCGAAGTGTAATTTAATTTCTGTCGTCAATTAGACATATATCCTGTGTTTCCCATTGCATCGTTATCAGCACGGGTACGAGAAACGTATTCTAATCATTGTACTTCCGCTTCCAGAGCGTAATCATCCAAGCTTCATTGTTTGTTTAGTCGCAAGAGGTATTTATGTGAACCCAACAGGCCTTGGATAAACAACTTTGTTATTGCTATTGATTCTTCGCATTTCTCTAGGCTTCTGCAAGTATTACTAGAGTTCTTTTACTGTTTGTGGACGACGAGCAGTTTACGGTAATCGAGCTCACTTAAACTGCTGAATATGCGACTAATGCATCAAATATTCCTGGAGCAATACAGCTAAATCGCGATCGGCGCACATCATGGCAATTCGCTGTTCAAAAATTCAACGCACGCGGACTCAATGCATAGGGGCGTACAGAGTGTCCCAAAATTATATGTCGAACGTTTTATCTGTGATCTCTTGTGTAAAAAGCTTTCGCCTTTTTCCAAACCTGTATTGTAGAGCTGGCTTCAACTGAGATTTACAGTATAGAGCAAACCACCGCCTGCTCTTCATTACAGAAGTATGGATCACGCTGAAAACTTTCAGCTTACTGCGTCATTGTGGATTAACCCTGTTCCAAAACGTTATAAAGTCTGAAAGTTTGTTTACCGGGGTTTTCAGGCGCGCTGATTTCGTTGCTGAACTTTTCATGAGTTTGTAAAGCACCCAAGGTGTAATCACAGTTCAAGGAGCCTTGTAAAAAAAGCTATCGCGGTTTACCTGGTATAATTCATGGACGAAGCGCTGCGGTATAGAGCAAAGTTCTTGTTTTGTGTCAGCGGCCTTGACTCCTTTAATGCAAGAGTATTCAGATTGTTTGTTTTGCTTTCTAAAGTTATGGGCATCAATAATTTGACATTTTCTTCAGAATTCGTACCGTGATCTTACAGTAACGGAAGGCAGCCGGTGGTTTGCTCCATACCGTAAAACTAACAAGGGAAGGATACTTGGTGACCGTTGCCTTTTGAAATCAGTTTGTAATCGTGTGTACACCATTGAATGCATCTTGAAGCGTTGATTCCAAATCTTTTTTTTTTGGGATCTGCTGTGCGCTCTTCCGAAAGAACATTATGAACATTTTTTGTCACAAAAATTTGCATTGTTTTTTGATGCGGGATTCACCAATATCGTCAGTTTCGCTTACGCACACAAAACAGGGTCCAAATAAAGCAAAGTTCCACGTTAAGCTCAGAAAAACTGTCTCCGTTATATCAGAGTCTAAAAAGTTTGGATACTGACGATTCTACCTGCCTAATTTCCGTAAAATCAAGGAAAAAAGTCCATGATTTCGTTCAGAAAGTTGCACAAAAGATAATGAACACAGATTTGGAATCGGCATTTCAAGGCGCATCTACTGACATACATCTCTTTGCAAAAGGACACGGTCATCAAGTATCCTTCTCTTGTAAGTCAAAGACAACTCTGCAATAAAGGTTCGCAAAAAGGCGAAAGCTTCTTATACAAACTTCTTGTAACAAATCAGATGTTATGTTGGGGTTTCGGTCTAAAGTATATTATACCTTGTATAGTATACTTTGGACCGAATAAAACCTCGATATATTCGATATTCGCTTATTCGAAATTTGTCAATTTCGAATTTATTCGATCAGCTGATTATTCGAAAATTTTGATTTTCGAAAATATTTGAACATTCACATATCTGCTTTCAATGTTTATTCAATTATTCGACATTTCCGTGCAGTCGAATAACTACAATCACAATTTTGATTGCTATATCAGCAAGTACATTGTTGCTCAAGTTGTCTACTACATCTAGTCCTTCATTGTGCTAATTCGATCAAAATTTGTTTGAATGTTGGACATAGTCGAAGCAAAGTATTCGTTTATTCAAATTTTTTTCCCAAATAAATTCAATTATTCGAATTTTTTCCATTTCAAAAATATTCGATATTCGGTTATTCGACATTTTTTCTATTTGGGAATAAAGGCCGCAGTCGATTTTGTCGTCACGATTCTATAACAGCCCTATAAGCTGATGCGAACATGTCAAGTTTTGCAAGGTAGCTTCGAAGAATCGTGAACAATAGCATTGCAATAAAAAAATTGCGCAGCGTATAAAGATGCCAAAAAATTCTTGTTATTATTGAGCCGATCGACAGCCGGACGACCCGTTTATGGACATTCTGCATATTTTAGCCAAGCGGGAATTCTGCAATCCTCACTTGTCTTGAAGCGTCCTAATACTTATTCTTGACGGAGGTAGTTTGAGAATTGAAAGTTCTGAGGCTTAGAGTACAAGAGCTTTCAGAGTGTCACAGTCGGCGCGCCACAGGTTCTCGCGAGCCGCGTCGCTTGGTCCTCTTGCCGCGCCGCGTTCGTCACGGATAGGGTACAGTCTGCCCCAATCGGGATCAGGCCGAACTGCCGGCCGAATTTACGCGCTCGCAACGCTAAGGGTCTGCGCTGTATAAGCGCGCTGTCGCAGAGAGCGAAGCGATTGAGGAGAGAGCAGATTGGCAAGCCGTAGGTGTGACGCGATACCTTCGCGGCACGGGTTCCCGCCATGCCAATTTTGGCCTGGATGGGATTGGGGCAGACTGTATTTTTCCACGCTTGAGGCTTGGAAAATACCGTATCTCCCAGCATCAATGGCTAACGAGCGTGAAAAAATGCTCCGAGACCGTTCGGGAACGCCGAGTGGCCCAAGCGAGGCGGCTCGCGAGGACTCGAGCCCGGCCGACCGTGACACTAAAAACCGTATGCACATTAACATCCCTGCCGGGGAGGAGATCGCAACTTACAAAGGAAGCCTCATATCCTGAAGCTCCTGCTTCTGGATTTCACGTTGTCTACCTATCCGTAAGTATTCCTACCATCCTTCACTATGAACATATGTAACGGGAGCGAGAAGCTGTACATGCCGCAATGTCTAGCATTTTGTATGATTATCTGATGATTCCTGGCGGCCGACCGTCTTTTATTCAAAGTCATTTTTCTTTCTTTAAAGCTAGCGAAAACATTCCAAAGTTGAACTGTTCATTTAGCCTAATAGTGTTAGTCCGTGTTTCTGATAAGAACAAATGATGTTTTGAAGTCATAAAATTTTCGATGGTCGAAAGTTGGGGTTTATCGAAAAATTCGATTTTTCAAAAACTCATTTGTTCTTATCAGCAACATGTTTAGCACTGTTGTGTTAGATGTTCAATACAACTTGAAGCTCTTCGCTAATTTTGTAGAAAGAAAAATGACTTTGAAGAAAAGACGGTCGGCTGCCGGAATCATCAGGGGTCATACATGCTAACAATTGCGGCATGTACAGCTTCTCGCTCATTTTACATATATTCATAGTGAAGGATGGTGGGAATACTTACGAATAGGTAGACAGTAAATCCAGATATCTGGAGCTTCGGAATATGAAGCTCTTTTTTGTAAATTGCGATCCGCTCTCCAGCGGGGATGTTAATGCATGCAGCCCTAAGATTGAAAGCCCCTATAGTTTACAAAATCTAATGTGGACGACTGCACACAACATCAACACTGTGCGTCGAATCGTGAGCTTCATCACGGTTTTGAGCATTTTTTTCTTTTGGTATCGGAATACATTAGTAATTTAGAACAACCGTAAAGACTAACCCGAATACACATTCCCGTGGTCGACATTTTCCTGAATTTCTCATTAGAAATGTGCAGTTATATATGCTAGGTTACGATTCTATTGACCGTGTATTAGCGCAATAACACAACTTGTAATCTCTCCCACTATAACAGAAAATATTTCAGGGAATGACATTAAAACGCTCCTGCACTTTGAACGAGACGTTGTTGACGAACTGCAAGAAATTCCAACTGAAACACGATCTCAATAATAATAAGGTGGTTTGAATTTCATAAGTAAGCCAGAATTCGTTTTATCACTATGAATGATGTGAATCAATAAGGAAAATACTTGCAATCAGTTTCAAAAGTGATCTGTATGACTTATGGAGATACATGCCAATAACTTGTTTGATCTTTAATGATTGAAAATTTATAGACTTCGTGAATCATACTACTTTCAGAAATCAATTACGCCTCAAAAAGTACAAAAAATTCGGGTGTCAGCACCTGAGTTTTATACATTTTATCCCCATGAAAACTGTCTGTCTTCGCTTGTCTCAAGAAAAAAGTGATACCGCAGCAATCAAGCCTTAATTTGTACTACAAAGTTTTGTTCGCAGTAATCTTCGTCTTTTACTTTGGCAGCAAATTTTTCTTTGTTGAGATTTCAGTAACGTAGCCCCCAACCCGATTGGTGTCCAATTTCACCACAGCTGCATTTTGAGTAGCTGTCTTCAACAGCTGTTCTTCAGTGCCTACATACTTGAAAGAGTCTTGCTGGGGACACTTTGCTTGCAAATTTTTCGCAGAAAAAATACGAGTAAAGAAAACAAAACTTTCGCGCTGTTCTGGTTTATTTGGTTAGAGAAAGTGTAAATGGAGTTACAGTGATAGTTGATAACGCTGAATTGACATTCTCAACATATTACCTGCCCTTATCCTCCTGCTTTGAGTGCATCCGCACTTTCAAAACAAGAGAATAAAGATATTACAGACTGGAAATGTGTTTCCGCCGCGGAAATTCTTGACTATTTTTAACTCTCCTTAACATATGTAATCAATCAATTATTTTATGAGTATTGTGAAGAAGTTCAGCAATAACTGAAATGTTAAAGATGATAAAAGAAAATCGAATGAAAAATAATATGATAGAATTTTCTGGAGAAGAGAAATATTAGGTTGTAACAGAATTAATGCAGGTTTTTCGCTCAACTTTTTCAGAATGCTGGTTTAGAAAGGGAAAGTGTTCTCCCAGAGAGTTTTGCATATCATTTGGAAGCTCTTTTCTTCTAATTTCTTATACAATCTTTAGTTTCAGTGGAAGTGAATTTGTCTAGAAGTTCTGAGCCCATGAATTTAAGAAACCAAATCTCGAAATTCTCTCTCTCAACATACCTGGCTCTAAAACCACCAGAAACAATCGGAATTCGCTGCATATTTACATAGTATTTTTGAGTGAGCTATGTTACAAAATGCATGCTGACTCATGAATTCTGAAAACATCTGAGCCGAGAAATTTCAGAGCAAAATTCAGCGGTCGCTGTGGTCCGTCTGTCCTATATAAAAATCCTCAGCGCGAAGCGAGTGCTGAGTTTCCGCTTTACATAGGAAGAATAGACTTTAGGTATTTATGGCTGAAAAAATTGGGAGCCATTCTCCCTACAGAGCTTTGAAAAAATTCAAAAGTTTCAAGAAAGCGATTTTTCAAATTCTCAGAAAAGTCGAAAAAACGAGTACTTTCAAAAATTTTTCAAATATCCTCTCGCAAAGAATTCTTTTTCAATTCCGAATTTAGCGCTGCTGCACAACCGACCATAGGCTACACAGTGAGTTATATTTGCGCTACCTTACTACATTTGATAGTAAGTTATGGTCTCCTAAAATGAAGGTTTTCCGAAAAAATTCTTGGCAGAATTCGGACTATAAGATTTTTCACAGTGAAGCTGTAACAACACAATAATGCATACTGAGTTGAGAAAGGTTTGCTGATTACAACAATTCTTGCTGCACACGAAAAGACTATTTGTGTAAAAAGTTATAATGATTCAAACACAAAATTCAGAAAACCTGCATTAATTCTGTTACAACCTAATAGTAATTCCCTCGCTTTTTTGAATCCGAGACTTAGGGGCGCATGCATGTCATCGCTGGGGAGGAGATCGTACCTCAAAAGAAAGCTTCATATCCTGAAGCTCCAGATATTTGAATTTCACGCTGGCCACCTATCCGTATGTATACGCACCTTCCTTCACTATGAACATATCGAGCGGGAGCAGGAAGCTGTACAAGCCGCATTTTCCAGTTTTTATGATCCCCTGATGATCCCTGGCTCCGACTTTTCTTTGAAGTCATTTTGATTTTTTCATAGCAGTACAAACTTTCCGAAGTTGTGCTGTTTATCTAAATTAACAGTGCTAATCGTGTTTTGGTAAGAATGAATAATGTTTCGAAGTCATGAAATTCGCAATCAACCACAAGTCGAAAGTTAGGGTTTGTCGAAAAAATCAGAATTGCAAAATTTTATTTGTTCTTATCAACAACATGCTCAGCAGTGTTAGGTAAGATAATCAGTAAAACTTTGGAATGCTTTCGTTACTTCTGGATGAAGGGAAAAATGACTTCAAAGCAAAGACGATCGGTCGCTGGGCATCACCAAGGGATCATACAGAAAGCTGAAAAACGTGTAGCTCGTACAGCTTCTCGCTGCTGTTCTGATAGGAATACTTATGGATAGGCAAACAACATGAAATCCAGATATGTGGAGCTTCAAGATATAAGCTTTCTTCTAAGCTTCGGTCCTCTCCCCAGCGAGGATGTTAATGCATGCGGCCCTTAGAAGCTACCAAAATTTTGAAAAGCATCTTAGAAATTATTTTGGAAAGTTTGATGTATTCACTATCAGTGATGGTCCCTGAAATTTCTTTTCGTTGTGGGAGGAAAGACAGCGAAAGCCACATCCTAAAAAGAATATCAAAATGTTAATTCATATCTCAAGTTTGTAAATTATTTTCGTTATTTACAAGTGAACAAAATTTAACCCTGTAGACTAATATAAAAATTTTTCCGGGAGTCTGTTTTATTTTTATTGAAACAATTTATTGACTTGTTATACTCTAACGATGGCAAAAACGTCGTTACTAAACGTTAAAACGACGAAAAACAAAATGAAGATGGACAAAAGTATTATGTAACCAAAACTAAACTCTTGAAAATCAAAATCATTGAGGTGGCAGAAAAAGTAGAAGCCGACCGTCTCGTTGAGGAGCGCACCTTCATGTGGTCATGGCCTTTTTGCACCGAAGGTATCATTGATTCATTCACTTTCCGTTATTCCCGCTAATGTGAATATCGTAGGAATGGCTCATGGTGCCTACATGCGGGACAAATTTCTTGTGTGTTTGCCATTCAATAGGGGTGGCACGGGCGAGAAGAATGGAACAGTGAGTTAATGCACTTTTTAAAGACTATGCATTGATTTTGATGCTACGGGCTCATCATGACGGGCTCATCATGATAAAAAACAAAGGTCAGATGATTCGGCGTTCCCAGTACCCACAACAGGCATGCGCCGAGAGTAACTTCGTTGATAAGTCGGCTAATGAATGCGTGCCAACCTGTAAAATTGAAAGTATGAGAAGCTGAAACTAAGTTTTGCAACTACTTTCAGAACTCAACCCTCTTTGGATATGGCGCACTCAAACTTTGGCAGTTGTAGAGCATAATTTGAGATAGTAACCCTCAAAACTGTTTAAATTTTGAAAACGAATTAGAAAAACTCCAAACATTTTTCGAAAATTAGTGAATTTTGAGAATTTTTGGTGTTATAAGCCAAAATGCGCAATAATCCGGAACAGTGTATGATTTGTTGCTAGAGGTTGACTCATTTGGCTCACTAAAAAGGAAATAAAGTTTAAGGGCAAGTCGAGGTTTGGCGCCCTCACAAATTCGAACGAGTCGCTGTACGCAAGGGTGTTGGGGACAACCGTTGATGACTAAGGAGTCAGAACTACAAAATTTCCCGAGCCTTTACATAGTGAGGTTCTTTAGTCTGCTTAACACAAATATCATACTCATTTGTTGAATCAACGCCCCTTTCCTTGTTTAGGATGAGATATATTCGTACACCTGCAGTAATCTTACAAAAAAGCCTTGCCACGCAAATTCAATATCTTTTTCGTGATCAGCATGTCGGATAACCCCCCTATGCTAATTTTTAGCCAAATCTATCGAATTTTACAATTTTTTTATACCATATACCTACAGTAACCTCCACTGCGACGTCAGAACTTGGTAGAATTGCAGCTGTGCTTGTAGCTTACGTCCTAGCCAACACAGTGGCAAAATTTGAGTGCGCTATGTTAAGTGAGAGGAAAGTTATTGGATGAGTTACAAAACTTAGTTTACAACCTAATGAATACAAGGCATACGAAATCTGCGAAAGCTGCCTAATTCAAATAAAAGACTCCGCAAACCTCGACCTTCATTTTTCGCACTCCTAAGCCGGTTATCCCGAAAACCCTTTGAAGACCTAAAAATGGCGGAAACAATTTTTAGAGCCCTTTGTTTTGACTGTATAAGAATGTACGTCTGTGTAGGTCAAGAATGCGGAGTCGTTTGCGGCATGCTTACTCCAACCCTGGGAAGAAATTCGCATATGAGCGGGATCAGCGTAGAAAGATGTGGGGGGGGGGGGAGGGGAGGTCAAGCCATCCATGCTAAATTTCGGAGGATTAGCGACTGTAGTGGAGTGGAAGTAGTCTATACGTTTCCTTCAGGGTAATTCTGATCCAAGAATCCTTCCAATGGGTCTGATTTTGTCTCACCACTGCCGTAGATCGCTCAGCAGGGGTTGCTCTTAGCTCGGATTACGTACGAGTTTCAGACGAAGAAATTTGAGCGCATTGCTGAGTGCGACTACAGTTGGACTATGGGCCTCTCACACGACGCCGAATTGGGCTCTACTTGTTTTTGGAGGTTGGAAATCGAAGTGCACCGCAAGTTGAACGCTATCGTGATTATCGCATCAAGGTAAGTAAGATTTATACGAACTTGTTGTCTAAAGGACACTTCACCCAAAGTGGGCTCAAGGAGTTACTGTCATAAGTATGGTTCAAACTCATCTCAATAGTGCTCGTAAACAACTGAAATGTGCGTTAAGGCAAAATTTGAGCACATTTTCTACAAGAGCTTCTGTGATACTGAAATGATTTGGAAGCGCACCCACCCTTGTGATGGTGTAAAAACATACATCGTGCAGTAGTCGCACGTTTGTGTCCGTCTAGTAGAATGCGAACTTAGAATCGAGGGTATTGAACCTATCAAATGACATGTAGCTACTGTCGGACGAAGGCGCAGAAGCAATATGAATTGAGCGGGCGCGAACGTGGTGCGCGCGTCTGCACTGTTTTGAGTCCTACGCCTTACTCGCTCTGCGGCTAATAAAACCGCGATCGCGCCCCTAAGTTTTGTGCCTTCGTCCTGCAGTACTAAAATTGATGGATCGTATACGCTTCGTACTTTCTGTTTAGAGACGACAGTCGCTATTTTGAGACCACCAAACGGCTGAAACGAGTTCGAAAGGTGTACCGGTAAGAAGCACTATGTCACATAGCACATTCTGTCTCAATAGTAGTGCCCCTGTTCCGGGCACAATCAACTCTTTTGACTTCGCGCGCTATCATAAGGGTTTGGCTCGAAATCAAATTAACGGCACCGCCCGGAGGTAAGCAGGCGGTTCTCGCGCTGCGGATGCATAGCCGCACGCAAAGGGACACTGCGGTTGAGACAGAGTAAACGGGTTAAGATTTTGACGAAATGCATTTTAAATTTATTCATTTGATAAATTAATAAAGCAAGCATACAAAAGTCAATCAGTTAACAACAGATTATGTATTTGTAGGCTGCCGGATCATTACGATGTTGGCACCACGACGACGAAAATGTACGACTGGGCCGTAATTGTTGAGGTGTACCCCAGGGAAAGGACCAAATCGCTAATCCAACGGTGTTCGTCAGATGCATATTAAGCTGAGCTCACGATTTGTTTCGCACTACAAAATTAGCTCCCTTATGCAAATCTTGCATGACAGTCACAATTAGAAGTTTTGCTGGCCACCATCACTTCTCAAAACACATCTGTGTATTTTATAATTATAGACTATGTGATCTTCTGGTAGAGAATTGCTCATAGGCTGACGGTTTTTTATAGAACTAGGAGTATTATACTATTAATAACTTGAGAGTCAAGAAAATCGAAAGCAAGCTATATCTATAGTAAATTCGACGGTTTATGTAGCGCTTCTGCGGTGTCAGCAGCACTTGTTGGAAAATTACCATACCTGTCCTACCGACCTGAGCTTGTAGAATGGTCAATGAGCGCATAGTTTAGAAAAATAAGCGCTTTGGCGATTTATGTACGCACAATTATTGTCGGCACGGCAGGAGCACTGTAGCTGCAGAAGGACCACTTGCTTTTCATTCTAGAGACCGTGTGCAAAAATTCTTGAGAAATCTTCGAATGCAGTAGCACATCCGAATTTTTGCGAAAATTTCGTGGTTTAATAACATAGCTCAACATTCCAAAAGCAAATATATTGAAAATTCTACACGAAAACATGTATTATCTAGACTCATCAAGAGTTACTTGCCTTTACTTCTCGATCTCTCAGTCGATCCTAATAGCTAAAATGTTGCAAGTTTCAAAGTAATCAGATAAAACAAGCCACTATTTTATTACCTGCGCCTAATTTAACATGCTTTGACGGAATTGTGAGCAAATATGTTTCAGACCGCTGAGACCCTTTAATCTTCTAAAAAACCGCATGAAAGGGACTTACGAAAACTCAGTAATCTTCGCTAAAACACAGTAAAGACAATAGGGTAGACTAGGAGTTTTAGGTTAGATAAGAATGCTCAGGAATATCTGCATGTGTTTGCATTCTAAGAGAACAACGCTGAAAAGTAGGCTATCAACTAAACGAGCAGCATTACGAAAATTGCTGGGCGATCTTCTAAGATCAGCGAGAAAGAGCCGTTCTCCGTACTTTTAGTGCATCATTCTTGTCGATTGTTTGTGCTATAGTGCCTGTTGTAACAACATTTATTCAATCATTTTCCCCTCTTCATTGTTTACAGATTGAACCACGAGGAGTAATAAATACATGATCACATTACAATCATTTTGCTTTGAAAAGACAATGAGAAAAACTTTACAATGCAGTTCTCCAGAGCATTGACTGAGATAAAAATATGCAGGAATGTTGTGAGCATCGTAGCGAATCATTCCACTATCACGCAACATAACAGTGATATGTTCACCCATTTGTTCACCATTAAGGGTGCGCTCCATTGATATGGAGGAGAAAACACGTAAGGTCAAAAATGACGGCATATGATTGCAAGGTATCTCTGCTGTTTTGACTATAGTCTGTCTTAACAACAATGTCCTTTTTGCGCGCGGCTACACATCGCAAGGCAAGGCTCTCGTGCTAAGTTTCAATCGGTGAGGTCCATTTCTGCTTGAGCTAAACGCCAGTGAAACAGCGTAGTCTGTTGCACGACATGCGCGGTATCTCACAATCATGTGCTTACATATCCCATTCAAAAAGTTTTTTTGCCTTTTTCTCTAGCTGAAAAAGGTGCAATCAGATGTAAATAATCATTTTAATAACTATTCAACTAAAGCGGTTTTTGCTTATTGTTGACTAATGAATAGTGTCGTGAGGTACCATGTGAAGTGTGCAATCTCACAAACGTGTGGCAAAAAAAATTCACCATATGTTGTGGAGTGATAAGCTAATCGGAAACGAAGAACCGGTAAAACATCGACAAATGCATGGCTACTTGAAAGTAGATAGATTACATTCTATATCTAATCAAAAATGGCTGGAAACGATAAATTACATTCTATATTTAATCAATGGCTGGGTGTCACGACGATATTATTTTGCTTGAATTTGGTCGTGGGCATCGTCTACTACATTATCGTCAGGATCTGACGGCAGTTCCTCATCGTAATGCTCGGGTTTCACAGCTGTAGTCTAAATGTAAAACATTTGCACTACTTTGTCCTCGTAAGAATTCTAGTGTATACTGAAAAGCAAGAATCCAGTTCTAAATAAATTGTTAGCTAATAAGATTCAAATAAGAACAATTGAACAATTATGGGAGGGTGTATGCCAAGAGGCGCGATTTTTATTGCCAGATGGGCACCAAATAGCGCATAAACAAGAGTTTTGTAACATTCTAAAAGTGATTGAACTCTAGAAGAAGCTTTATTAGGTAATTACATGAGTTGCTTAATCTTGCTGTCTTGGAATCAATTCAGAGCAGTAATTTTGAAGGTCAAAAACCTATGAAAATGCAGTTAAGGACAAATTCGTAGATATTTCGGTCCGTTTTCCAGCAAAAGCCACCAAACTCAGCAAGTGGTAACCTCAGACAGATAGTAATCCAATGTTTTTTATGTGATACTATTTGAAGACTCGCATAGCACTAAATTGGAGTTTTAAGTTGGTGACAGCCGGAGAAATCGCGCCTCTTGACCGTCTCCCATTATGAGACTAACTAACTAACCAACAAAGGATAGCTTTTCTTTGAGAGGATGAACATAGCGGAGGAATTCAGCTGAAAAGAAAGCCATATTTTTTCCCATAGATTTTACAGTCAGTTTCAACCTTTTGTAAGCTAAAACTGAGATGACGCGTCCGTTTCGCAACGATTTTTTTACTATGGGTATCGTTTGGCTGGCAACATGCCAGCGCCGCTCGCCGAAGTGGCACCGCGCAGCGGACGCGCCGCTCTACATGAAGTGCTTCGGTCTACACTAGGTTGAAACAGGCTGTAGATCTCGCCCCGATGAATGCACTTTGCTAGTGAAACTCACGATGTCCATGACATTGTCAAACGTTCGCGTCGTCGGTGTTTGCTCAGTCCTATAAAATTAGCTTGATTTTGTTGATTTGCAGAGTATAATTCTCTGTATAACATAGTAGGTTTGTTGGGCAATGGCCCCTTCTGAAATGCTAGCCGCGGCTCGCCTCTTACTGGCCACTACATCGGCTCTGACTGGCCAGGGAAGAGCAAGGACTGGGAACCGAACGACCTGCCCGTGCAAGCATACTCTCTAAGTTTTGTCAGTTTCAACACGTTGGTAAAGGTCGAAACAGATACATTACACGCTTCAAATCATGATAAGTCTTCGTCGGTTTTGTGATATAACGCTTTATAACGCTTTCATAACGGCTCCGCACGCGGTTGGAAGCGTCGTGCGCGGAAGGTTCAGAAGCCCCTAATCCAACTGGTAGCTAATAAAGTGTTTCTGTGTTGCTGACACTATATTAGGCTGCTGCATAAGTTCTGTCCGAATGTTTTTGAATAATGTTTGAAGCAGCTGCTCTAAGAGAATTTCATTTCTGATGCAAGATTGCATCATTAGAAAGTGCTTTTCTTGCTCTTTCTAACGCATATCAAGTTTCAGTGAATTTTTTAGTGTGAGGAGATTTCAGACTTGAAATCTTCAATTAGCCGAGGTACGTTCTCACCCTAGAAATATGTTCTTGCGAAAAAATCTCCACAATGCGCCTTTCAAGTCAAGTTCTTTTATTGGTTGCGGAATAAGGGTGTGATAGGCTATTATATGCACAAGCTCATTTTTATAAAGAAAGTCTTGCTAGTAAAATTTGTTGCCGAACATCAATTTTTTGTATGTATGCTCTACGAGCAATAACTTTCTGCGAATAGAGGCAATCGATGAGTCCAAAGTTGAAGGTGCTAGGGTAAAACAAGAGCTGGCAATGCCCATCCACCTATTTCTTTTCGGCGCTCAAGTCAATTGTAAAATTTCCATAATTTGTAAATAGGCATGCGCAAATGCGCTGAAGCGAGGTCAAAAGTGTCTTCTTTTTTGTTCGGTCAAAAAAAAAAATCGGCAGCGCAGACCCTATGGGTTTTTTATGTTACAAAATAATTTACGAAAATTCTGCTATCTATCCATTGTTGAATAAGATGCCTATCAATTCTCATAAGAGAGTATTGCCATGTCAAAAAAGACAGGTTTGGAGAAAAACGCTGTAAAGTTTTTGAGTTTTTGCTTCTTCCTTAACACAGATTTTCGCAGGGTTCAATATGCATCTGATAGCCAAGGAACTGCTCAACAAAAGGAGGCTAAGGCCTTGGAAAAAGGTTGACATTGAAAGAAGTTATGACATTTGAACTCAAAAAATTCAAATCGGACAAAACTTATGCAGTAGCCTAATATTAGCCGTCTACTGGGCTGGAGCTCACCTTTCTCCAGCAGGTGTTATGAGCTCAGTCAGTCTCCCGTAAGGATGAAACGCTAATTCAGATGTGTGCTTCTTCCGGCCATTCCGATTTAGCACCTATAAAAGACGAATAACATCAACATGAGCGCCTGCGTCAACGTTATTACCTGGTTACATTCAACCGCGAGTTTCGAGCCGTACAAATGGTTTTCGATAGAGGGGATTGTATAAGAGTTCACGTCCAAACTTTGTGGCATAGTTTCCTGAAAATTTACTGGATAATCTGCTAATTTTGGACTATCAGCACTTAAATTTACCTGTGAAAAACAAGGAGATGAGCCAGCATATCGAAGATCATCAGCAGGATGAAAATTAATCCTAGCTTCATCTGCAGCCCTGAAGAAAAGGAATCAGTCATGTGTTGGACCAACTACGTATGTACCCTTCTTAGTTGATATGATTGATGTCGTGTTGTATGTTTTCTATTGTATACTTACTTAGACTGTTTCTATTTCATACAGCACAACTGATGCGATTTGTACGGAAATCTATTTTGCTCCAAAAAACTTTTCTGTTTGAAATTTGAACTCCTAGAGAAAGGCATCAGAATAATTTTCTCCATCGTTACCATGCAAAAACTTCAAGATGACATTTCCACCAACATAACCAGCATTTGGCAAGAAGAGCTTCGCGCATCCTCTGCAAAACATCTTTTTTGCACTTTAGTAAGCTGAGAAATCGTGTTCGTGCAAGAAACGTCGCCATAAAAACTCAGATTAGTGTGTGAAAGGTAGTTCTGTGGAAATTATGGCTCTTAACAATTTAATTCTGTAAAAAAGAATTGTAACGCTTTGGTATTAGAAAAAAAGAATGCCTTTACCTTTCATTAGATGATAAGCACTTATCCTGGTATGAATTATCAAGGCCACGAAAGAGCGAAGTTTGAAAAGTGGCGATTGCATACTAGGAATTTCTTACTCTCTGTCTAGTAAAATGCCTGGCTATTGCGTAGTAATGACTTTGTCTGGATGGCATGATATTAGGTTTTCATGAAAGTTTCTTTCGCCAACGAGCAATTTGAGCGTCGAATCAACTTTTTTGCTAGTAACGTTTTTAAAACGCGATATTGGCTAACTAGTTAGCCTAAGCTGCTCAAATAAAGTCTTCGAAGTTGTTATCAATAACTACTTATTTAAAGAACTCCTCAGTCTCTTGAGCATAATGGTGCGTGGTCGCGGCGAAAAATCCAAAAAAAGCCACTTTTGCAGCGACTGAAACTTGAATATCTGCATAAAAAATGGTTAGTGACTATATCAAGCTCCAAATCACCAACTGTGGGAGATTCGTTTGCTCCACTCAGGTGTTCCACGATTTCAGTTATTTACATCAAAATACAGGGTGTCCCAAAAGTGAGTAAACACTTTTCAATGGTTGATATCTCTCTTTCTGTTGGGTCTTTTTTCCCAAAGTACCATTCTGTAGGGGAGACTTCAACTTAGATTTATAGCAAGGAGCGAATCACCGATCGCTCATCATTACTGTAGGACTACGGTAAGAACTTCCAGCATGCGGAACCATTGTAAAATACGCCATTTGACAAAAATTCTTTCAAATCTGAGAAATCGTGTGGTAGGTTTCTCGCGCACGCTGATTCCACCACACAACTTTTTATGAGTGTTTTCAGCTTTTTTGACGGTATAACCACATTTCTGAAAATGCTGGGAATTCGGTTCACCTGAAATAACTTTGAAAATAAGCATCACGGTAAAGTGAAAACAAATTCGAAATTAGCGGCTTCCATTACCATAGGATAAGAGTTTGGCTCGTTTCGTTTTGTTCCGGGGCAAAATATAGCTCCAACTTAAAATCGTCGTCGAAGTTCTCACAATAATCTACTGTAGTAAAGAGCAATCGGTGATTTGCTCAATGGTGTAAATCTAAGTTGAAGCCTCCTATACAGAATGATGCTTGAATGGCGGAAAAAGACCCAACGGGAAGGGAGATATTAACTACTATATAGTGTGCACTTACTTTTGGGACACCCTGTAGATATGTAAATTCCTAAGTAGAGCAATCAAGTGACATTTAGCTTAAAATTTCCTCTATTTGTATGACAATTTTGCGGAACCCGGGGTGTTTAGAAAGAAAAAGGAAAACATCAATGTATTTAACCAATAGATACTTTCAGTCATTGTTAAACCAGATTTTATGGCCATTCAAAGAAATGAACAGCCTTCAAGTTACATTTTCAGTCACAAGTAATCCTACCATTCCAATTGCGATCTGTCATTCGGAAAAAGAAACTCAACTTTTGGTGTCATGTGTCTCGTACCCACTACGGTACCCTATCAGCGAAATTTGCAACCCACAGTAGAGAGTTCCTAATAATGAAATTTTTTTCAAAAATAATGTGAGTTGTGCATTAATTTCGCTTTAGTCCACGGAATACAGTTGGTGCATATGCTATGGATGAAGAAAGAAGTCTAAGCTTTCATACCTCTTCCTCCTTTCCAATAGTTGTGCGATACGATCCATTTCCTCGCGCAGGATGGCCACATTGTGATCTAGCTCCGCAAATTTTGCAAACAACAACTCATCCAGGTAATCAGGTCTTATTCTCTCCTTAAATGTACATTATAATTAAGCATTTCTTAGTTCAAAAGGAAACATGAGACTGCAAAATTATACCGATCGAGAAATACCAATAGTCTATCTTCTAATCAAAATATCCACAAGCGGCTATGCATGTTTACACAGACTTTCATTTGCAATGGAATTCAAGCCTATCTGCTAGAGTTATCCTCAGTTTAGCGAATGATTTAGCGAAACCAGACAAGATCGCAGCAAGATTTCAAAAATTCAAAAAGAGGGCTGCTAACCGTTTTGAGTGGATCTCCACTCATGAAAATACAGATTCAGTCTAGAAATTACAGGCATCCCTACTTATCAAATGTGGACACCAATATGCAATCACAACTGGCACTACTTATGGAACATCATATGCTAGATGGCAAAAGCAAAAATACTTTTTTCCTTAGATGGAATGGAATAGCCATTTGATAGGTTTGAAGGCAGTGTCCGGGCAAAAACTCGATTTTGAGATTTTGTGCTTACTTGGGCCTATTCGCTACGCTGAATCCGAAAATGCACATTGTAGAGCGCGAAAATGGCGAAGAACGGCTCTAACACAGGAGGGAAATGAGCAGGTGGGCGGGGTCCTCCCCACTGCGAATTCACGTTCCCGACTTCCGGAGCGACCTTCTCGCTTCCGGTTTCAAGTCAATCGTTCGCACTTGACCGGTAGCGATGTTAGGACGGCTAGCGGAATCGAGAAAATCGCTCCGGGAGCTGGGAGCGTGAAATCGCGCTGGGGAAAGCCCCGCCCACCTGCTGATTTCCCTCCTGTGTTAGAGCCCTTTTTCGCCGTTTTCGCGCTTTCCAACGTGGATTTTCGGATTCAGCATGGCGAATAGGCCCTTATAAGCACAAAATCTTGAAATCGAGTTTTTGCCCGGACACTGCCTTTAAGTCGACGACCGTGACTTCTCAGGGAGGTTCCCCCGTTCTTTCAGTTTTCCAGGTTTTGAATTATTTCGCTTTTGGTTAGGTCGGCCAGCCAAAAACCCCGGTGAGCGGCCTTTTTACGACTGCGTTAGAGTAAAGGGAAAAGATGTTGGTATAACTCTTTTCAGGAAGAGAACAACCTAGTCTTTTTAAACGACTGCTGCTGCTTTAACTCGACACTCTTTGTTCAATAAGGGAAAATATATGTATAAAAACAAAAAGTACCCACCATTCTCTAGCAGCAGCCTTCTCAGTTAGTATGAGCAGAGCGAAGTGCTGAACTTCCTTGAGCTCTCCCTACACTCGCTGTCGTTCTGCCCCTCGTTGCCACGGTGATCGGCCGGCGGAGCAGCTGTGGATTACCGTATCGGGGAATCTGCAGCCGTTTGGTAATACTTAGCGTGTGTGTGTCGGCTCTAATTAACCTGGAAATGAGCAGCGGAAATTGATGTGAACGTTGGCCTGATGGATATCAGACACGCAGGTATGATGCCTAATTGCTCACTGAGCTAATGTGAGCAGCAAGCGGATTCGGGTAGGTAGACGTGGACTGCAAACCAAAGCAAGCAATTTCTTGCTTTAGAAAAAACACTACCATCAAGGGAAGCCATACAAGAAAGAAATTTCCAGTACAACTGCAACTAGATTAGCTCGTTATATTCGGAATCGAAGCAACTTACGATTTCTTTAATGGCAGGGTTGTATTACTTACTGTAACAGCGCACGTCTGTAGGCGTACGGTATGAAGTGTATATGCAAGTATTGCTGCAGAATGCTTGGAGAGGTTTCAATGCATTGACTACAATAATTTCATTCATGTGCTGCTGGTGGCACAGTGCTGGGAAATCCTAGGGATGAACAAAATCTTTACGTTAAGCACGCTATAATATTTGCATTGATTTGCTACTCTCAAAACGCGTTACGGTAAATACCACGGTCAGTTTAATCTGGTCAGTGGATCTCTCTCTATCTGCCTAAACTACACAGTTATCTCCAGAGTTTGTGCAGATGCATGTAGAAACTTTTCAACTTTGAAACACTAAATCATGCACATTCGAAAATTGCATTCATTCAACGACAATTCTCCCGTAGAGCATTTTTTTTACTTCTGCCGTAAATAATTCAAACCCATGGTACGCAAGAATTCTGATTGAACACTGCAAACAACCTCCTTGTTCGTACAATTGAAGCAGAACCTGCATAGAACATATGATGGTAAATAGCATCATTCAGGAGTTCTGAGAAAATGGATTAGAAGCGTATCAAAACACTACACTAAAATGCGCAATTTTCAGACAAGCAAGAGGCAAGTCATGGAATTAGACCCTAAACTTCGGAGGAATGTTAGCAGCGCAAAAAACCAGGATAAATTCGTAAAAGCTCGAATTAAGCATGTATGGTCACAGATGTTCGGTACGACACGGTTTGCAGAGTGCGCGAAGGAGATGATGAAGTGATCGATCAGTTGCGCAAAATCTTTTGTCAAATCGATAATTTGGACAAGGTACAATTTTTAACGTAGAAAAACCCTTGATTCATTAATTCAATTTATTCACTATGTCGAGTAGTCAAAGCTTACGTGAAAATTCAGAAAGTGTCTGGTAGTTATGGCTCTGCTAAGAAAAAGTTCACTTAGTATCGTGCATTTCAAGAAAGTATATACGGTACCTCATTCAAGACTCATGAAATTATCTCCATCGGGCCAAACGAAGATTAAGTGAAACCATTTTTTGGCTTTCGCACTAAAAACAAAATTATGAGATTGTTCGAAAGACTGATTGATTTTGTCCAATTTTTTCACAACAAATACCTCCTGTTAATCGGCAGAATTTGCAAATGTCGACAATGTTTGATGAGTATTTGCTAACAGTTCATGATTCCAATTCGGAAAGCTTCTCAGAATAGGTACATTCAGCTACTAAGGCGATGACCTCGAGGCGGTAAAACTCGGAGAAAGTATGCACTTGCAAGCCACATGAACTGGATTTCATTCAGAATAACAAAACAGTTTCAACATCTCCCGAGGTCAAACCTCTTGAGACAATGAGCCGACGGTGACTACTTCGGAAGGAGAATTATAAAATGATTTTCCCTGGACATTTGCAAATGCAGAAGAGGGATTTTCATAAACAAGTCTACAAGTACTGGCTTTTTTGCTAGCACTGCCACTGAACAGAATAGCTCTGTTTTGTGAAGCGATTTATCAGAATAAAATTGTTGTGTGCAAAATCTCGTCGTTGTCAACGGGTTAGCCACTATTTGTTGCAAAAGCCCTTTATCACGGATAGTTGAATTACTTAAGCTTTTAAGCTGTATTTCCTAGAAATGAAAAAAATTCGAATTGACTCCATAAATATGAGCATAATCAATGAATGTTGATACACGCTTTCTCTTAAATCCAAGCGAAACTAGTTGTATTTCCCTAAGATTTTTTGGTTTGCGTTCAACTTTAGCTTCTCTACCCGAACGAATGTGATTAGTGCTCTCTTCAATAGTACATACTAATCGAACGGCTATAATTCATACTCCAAAGAATTTTTGTAGGAAATGGAGGAATGCTCACAAGGATATCGGTGGTCGCGGACGTCAATGGCTAGCATTTCGACCACAGTATCCTACCAATAACAGCACTGAGAGACGCACAGAGGCGAAGCCGCAAACAATAAATGAGCATCGCGTAAGTGCGCAACAGAGCAAACGCTCGAACTACGGCGCGCCACTCGATAAGATTACCCACTAAGCATCTCGGAACGAACGCACTGCTCGATCTTACCCTCATATTATATAGTCTTGATAAAACTGACGCTTTCTATGTTAAAAAATGCCGAAAACATATGCGATTGTGAAATGGCACGAAAAAACATGACAAACTGTATAAGGTTTACTTGCGACTAGCAGACATTACAGGCACAGCGATCTGTTCCCAGGTAGTGCCAGCAAGGGCGTTGCGCTAACCACCAAATTTCTAAAGCAGAGAAACTGATAAATTTGGTCCAGAGACAACCAGCTGAAGACTGACAAAAAGCGATGCATGAGACAGTCGTAACTGTCACAGTAGCGGCGTAATTAAGTGAGGCGGGGCAGTGACAGCGGTTCCCGCAACCCGCACCCGTCGAAGATCTGATAGGCGCCCGAGATGGCCTTCCATCCAATCCGACCGCAATCGGGTCACCGACGAAGTGTTTCGCTCGAGACAGATCTAAATGAGCAGTACAATGGCAAGAATTTTTGACGCAACGCAACCACAATACTTGGCTTGTGTGGATGAAAGACCCCGGATATGGTCCTACTTGAACTGTTACTTTGTTTTCTTTATTGCTAAGGCACAGGACTGTTTAAGAAAGAATGAATGATTACATTTTGCGCATTTCCTACCTGATCCATCGTCCATTCTAGATATTGTGCAGTTGCACAATTAGCAAACAAATTCTCGACTTTATAAATGTCATGTGCACAACTTCTCAAAAAATCAATTGTACGTTTTTCGCCCAGGTCTTGTACATTTGCGGAACATACAATCGACAATGAAAATTTGAGGCTTAGACCTCTCGAAAACTTCAAAGTCTAACGCCGTGCAAAATGCTTTTGACTAACGTAAGATGAAAGCCTACGCATCACGCGTGACTCCGTTGCTAGAGCGTATTATTGTAATGGACTGGAAGGAAAATCACAGCTTTCAGTTTTCAAGGCTAAATTTTCCTCTGAAACTAGAGCGTACTCTAGTGGTTGCGGTTTCGAACGTCTGAGATAAGCTCGAGACTGCTGGGGCAGAACTTGCCATTTTCTGCTTTTGATTTCCAGCCATCAGTCAACTATACATGGTTGGAGAATAGGTCTACTACTATATTCAAGACCAGGAGTATGCAGAAGTTTTTGAGAACGGATGTCCGATTTTTAGCATTGTAGTTCGCCCATGGATTTCTGCAATAGACTTCGAGTAGATCGCGATTTAGACATCGTTCGTTTAACGGTCGTGTTGTAGAGCTTGTTCTATCAGACTCTAAGCAAGCTCTTCTTAGTGTTCAAACTATCGACGAAAATTTAAAGACATTTTCACTTTCCAAACTGGTACCATGTAATCATCTGGGGTTTCAGCGCTTTCAGCACAGCAAGCATCCGTTTTTCAAAAAAATTTCAGACTACTCTTCTATCAAGCACCTCCCTCAATGTTCGAAAGGCATTATCGCATCTGCACTTACGAAAATTGGCAGTACACTCCAAAAATCATGTGCTTCATAGAACACTGGGAAACACAGAGAGCTAAGAGTCATAAGCTTTCGAAAGTACTTTTATGAATGCATACACGTGTATACAAGATATTGCATACCCATTTTTTCTTCGGTAGAATATTTTCTTTGCCGTAGTTTCAATCAAGATGGTTTTTTTTGGCAGAATAAGCTCCAGCTCGAATCTACTCGAAAAGTGCCCGATCCACAATGTATATGGCACATAAGAGTACTCAAAATGAGTAAATAGATGAAAAATTCATCACTGTTACCGCAGAGTTACATCGGGGCTTCCGATCCGCCCTATAGAAGTGAGCTACATTTGGAGGAAGCAATAATAGTCAAGACATCTCTAATTATGGTTACACCCTTCAATCTCTGATTTCTCTTGTATGATGCATTTTCTTACTTTTGAGAAGAATTTTACAGTAACTGGCCGCATGTGATATTGTTCATTTTATTACTCTTTCCCGACAGCATTCCAGGATCCAAGGCTCTGAAAAGTTGCGAAGGTTTTTCCGGAGAACTTTTTTACCGCTTATTCTCACTTTTACTGAACTCGATCGTCTTTGCGAGGTCATACTAGGCGATTTCACGCTGCAGAGTTATTCTTTTCGCTTTTTGCAGCGAAAAGCTATCGCAGTTCTTAAGTTAGCATACTGAGGACGAGAGAGTGACGGGTAAAGTGTCGCACCTATTCTGATAGGTTGCAGCGTAGTCTTGCACGAAAAATTTGTAAAATCCGTAGTCTCTACCAATCGCTAAGAATTTTGGTAATGAGATTTTAGATAGAGAAATTCTTTGCAATTTCAGAAGTACTCAATTCAAGATATGTTTTTCCCAAATCGCAGTGATACAACCTGATAAAAAGGAACACTTAAAAGGCGGTTTCCTAAATTCGATCGCTGAAACAACACATCTAAAAAATTGACACTTGAGTTTTGCTTGTATTAAGATGCGTTTTTTCTATATGAGATAAATTCGTATTGATCGGGCGTTTCTACAATTACTTTCAAACTTCAGCTTTTTCAAATGCGCTTGTTGCTTTCAAGTCGAAAAAATCTCTCTTGTTCATGTTCTACGCATTTGATATCTTATATATAAAGCTGTATGTCTGTTTGCATGTCTGCATGTATGTCCGTCTGTCTGTATGTATGTTCCGAATAGAAATTTCTATTTCTGAACCGATCCGGACCAAAATTGGCACACATACACTTCGGGCCGGGCGGGTGTCATAGGCTACTTTTCGTCATCGATCGATATCGATTTTATTGATTTTTCAAAAGTTCGAGCTACGGGACAGGGAGTTGGCACAGAGGGGGGGGGGTAGGTGAGCATGTTGATTACAAATATATTATTGACAGGGCCGGGCGGAGCCGCGTTTGTCAGCTAGTATGTTATAAAAACAAACGCTATCCTGAAAAAGTCAACTAAACGAATTTCCTTGCAGGTTTTTGGTGCAGGAGTTTTGTATCAACCCAAAACAAGTACAGTCGTTTCCATTTCAACAACTGATTTGCGTAATCTCGCTACAAACGATGACTCCCATTAGGAGTCATTCCTTTATGAAAAACCACTGCTTTGAAGTTGAATGACTGCATTTGCTAGCGCTCGCTCAAGTTCAAATTGTAACCGTTGCTGTACCAAGAAAGTGAGATGGCTGAGATTAATGCCACTCGTAAGGTTATCATCACGTAAACGCTGGATTCGAGCCAGACCAGCTCGTTTATTCGTGCAACGTAACAGCGATCGAAGTAGAGATATGACCAACTAGAAAAAAATGAGCTCTGTAAAAAAAACAGTCAATGTCAGTCGCCTTCTTTGATGAGTAAATCATGGTCACCTCAACTTTTCGTACTTTAGTGCGGTGCTATGAAAAAGATTATACGCTTCCTAAGAGCGTCGAAGCGGCTTTCTCTCACACAATCATTGAGAAAGAGAAAAGATTACCAAATTTTTGAAATTTCTGTACGGTTCGCGAAACACTAGAATTATTTCAGCTGCATTAGAATTCCTGTTTTTCGCTCAGCGAATTCGTATCTCGCGGGCACTGGCGCCCGCGAGATACGAAGCCAAGCTTGTGATCGGGTTCCTGTCAACTGGAGAGTATGGTCCGATCTGGCGAGTTTGGTCATGTCGGGCTCTGTCGAGATCGGGCTCTGCCCGCCCGACTGCCGTGCCTGAGATGGCCAAACTAGCCAGATCGGACCACATTCTGAAGTTGATGAATCAAGGGATTTTCGTTAACAATGGCCCGAACAGCAAATGGGAGATAATTATCGCCCCTGAAATGCTTGAGCAGCTTCCGATGGTGCTTGTGCCCATGTCAGCCTGTTATAGCGCCATAAAATAAATTTATAAAAAACAAAAGTACCAAGTTCCATACCGATTCTTTCACTATACAAAAATTAGATTGAGGTAGGCCTTCCCCGAATCTCATCAAGAGTGAAGGCCGTAGGAGTTGAAAGAAACAAGAAAAGGAACTAACCTAAAACTTTTCATGGAACGAGTCGTCGATTGAAGCATGGGAATATATTCTCAAACTTGGGTAACTAAACTATATTATCGTCATGCTAGGCCTTGATCAATCAATGTGGGGTCTCTGCATGTGTGTTTCAGCGCGACGCTAACACCGCGCTGGCATGGATGGTATAGCTGCGACACACAGACAACTTTACAAGTAGCCTTGTTCTGGCGAGAACTTACTGCAACGCATTATGTTTAGGATCTGTAATAGAGTTCCATTTGATACGCAAGCGTTCAGTCATTGGTAAAACAAAACCGCCGCTTATTGAGCACTAGCTGGCTTACCCGGCTCCGCCGTATCCGGACCAAACTTGGCACACATACACTTCGGGCTCCGGCGGGTGTCACAGTCCACTTTTCGTTATCGATCGATGTCGATTTTACCGATTTTTATCGATTTTTTGCAGAGTTCACCTACAGGGCTAGGAGTTGGCACAGGGGGAAGTGAGCATGGGGATTCCGAATACAATATTAGTTTTCAGAATTATCGTTTACTTTTATTGATTTTATCGATTTTTTGTAAATTTTGACATGCGAGGCTGGGATTTTGCACAGGGGGGTAATCGAGCATGCTGATTACGAACACAATAATAGTTTTCAGGATCGTCCATTACTTTAATCGAATTTATCGATTTTTTTTGTAAAGTTTGACCTGCGGGGCTGGGAGTTTACACAGGGGGGTAATCGAGCATGCAGATTACGAATACAATATTGGTTTTCAGGATCGTCCATTACTTTTATCGATTTTATCGATTTTTTGAAAATTTGAGCTAGGGGGCTGGAATTTTGCACAGGGATGTAATCAAGCATGCTGATCACCCCCCTTGGGAGTGATCAGCATGCTCGATTACCCCCCTGTGCCAACTCCCAGCCTCCTAGCTCAAACTTTGCAAAAAATCGATAAAATCGATAAAAGTAATGGACGATCCTGAAAACCAATATTGTATTCGGAATCCCCATGCTCGATTACCCCCCTGTGTAAACTCCCAGCCCCGTAGCTCAAACTTTGCAAAAAAATCGATAAAATCGATAAAAGTAATCGATAATCCTGAAAACCAATATTGTATTCGGAATCCCCATGCTCGATTACCCCCCTGTGCCAACTCCCAGCCCCGTAGGTGAACTCAGCAAAAAAATCGATAAAATCGATAAAATCGATATCGATCGATGACGAAAAGTAGCCTATGACACCCGCCGGGGCCCGAAGTGTATGTGTGCCAAGTTTGGTCCGGATCGGTTCAGAAATGGAATTTTCTATTCGGAACATACGTACACACACACAGACAGACAGACATACAGACAGACATACAGACAAACAGACATTCAGCTTTATATATAAGATGCAAGGCAATTGTCCTCTTATCGCGCCTGGGCTTCACACGCCTGCCCCCTCTTCTGATAAGTCTTCACAAGCTTATCGCCAAATTGTCCAAATTGCCTTTTGGCTACTACGGCTGTCTCCATACGTCGAATTTTGCAAGACAAACACACTTCTATCAAAATTCTTTTTATAACCACAGTATAAGACTTTTTTTTTCAGTTGCGCGCAGTGCACGGACTTCATGTGGCATCGCCTCGTGGCTGTTGCCTCAGTGTCAGTGGTGGCAGTCTGCTTGATTTTTCCGTCATCAAAGAGCAACACATCGAAACTCACTTTTGACTCCGAAGATAAAGCTCAGGTATGCATTTGAGAGCAGACTAACTATTCTTTTCCTCTTTTCTTTTCCAATGCTATATGAACAGTCTCTTAAGGCACCGTATCCTGATAATGTCAAAGTTTTTGATACGGTACATTAGCTGAGCTCCTTGCTAAGTGATAGTGAAGTCCCGCTGCAGAATGAAACGGAAGAAAATAACTCGCTAACATTCGGCAATACAAGAAAAAAGAAAAGACTAAATTCACGAATATTTTCTGTGTCGTGCATTCCTTAAAGGCATGTCCAGGCAAAATTGGGCACATGGATTTTTCGCCTGGAAACTGACGAGGTGGTTCTCGCTAAGACACTGGCCAAGCGGCAGCGTAAACCATTCATTCACGGCTGAGAAATCCATCCCCAAATTTTCCGCGCCTGCGCCGTGACCGTAACTCGCGAGTAAGCTAGGGTGAGCCGGCGCGGAGGGTTTGAGGACGGGTTTCTCAGCCGTGAATGAATCATTTGCGCTGCCGCTTGAGCAGTGCCTCAGTTATGACCTTCTATCTGTTTCCAGTTAAAAAAACCCATGCGCCCATAGTTGCCTGCCTTCAGAGGGAGTTTTCAATTTCTAGCCTCTCTGGGACTCTTCAACTTCTAGTATATCGCTTTTACTTGATGAAATTTTTTGGCATTTTATACTCGATAGTGCTCCCAAATCTTGCGATTTATGCTGATATTGTGCTGCCGCAGCCTAGAAGTAAAATAATCAACCTACAGCCGAACAAGAGACTCAAACTTATGTATGTCAATTTGAATTTTCTGGCGTTTTATATCCTTGAGATGCATAGTGAACATACGTACAGAAGTTATTTCTACTTCTGCTAATCCTTCATCTTGACAAGCAAATTTCAAATCTGAAAGAGCTGGCGTTGACTCACCCATACTTCATGCATCTCGATTTAGTAAGCTTCTCTTCTCTGATCCATCGGGAATTCCTAGCTGTAGCGAAATATTGCTGACGATAAGTAGCTTATTTGCTAATGTGAGCAATTGCACACCCACAATGACAGCCAAAAAGATTTTCTGCATGAGAAGTGCATCTTATGTTATTTTCATAATCAGAGATTCGCGGATGGTTCGAAATGTGAAGGTATAATCGCGGATAATCAGTTGCCAAGCAAAGAAGAAGCGCAAGAAGCACTTAGTAGGGCCGGAGAAAGTGACCACGGCTTATCTCAAACCGAAAGGTAGAGACAACGGCATATAATGATTTGATGAATCTTAATCAGGATTTTTAAGAAAGAAACGTCAAATCTCGCAGCAGTCTTATCAAGCATATTTGGATAGCCTCGGTCGAGCCGACTATGACGTGCGCCTAGAGGAAGGTCAGAACAGTTTAGTGTGATATTTTCAAAATGAGTATTGCTCCAGGATGGCAAAACATCCTCTACCCATTTGGTGCATGGGCCATGGATGAGCAACTGATGGGCCAAGCAGGTCGTGAGACACAAGCAAATCTGGGCTTTGATTGCCCATTCTTTGGCTTCAGGTTTTACTTGGTGCTCATTAATCATAGCTCCAAGTAACAAAGTGATTCAGATTCAATTATACTTTCGTCTATCCCATGGGCATGGTTTCGTTTGCACTGCCATCGTTCGCTACTCCACCTTGGACATTCCCCAACCCTTCGTGGCCAAAGCAGAGGGTAGCGATTTTGTGAAATCCCATCTATACAATCAAATACCTGATTTTCCCCACTTGAACGCTTTAGGATCACTCATTCATCGCTCCATTCTATGCAGATTCCATGTACCAGTGGATCGGTAACACAAAGATCAGCAACACATTTTATCGAAGTGTTCATCGCCCAAGGGTACGGATTTATTGTCAGAGCTACAATACTGCTTCCATATGTGAAAAAAATCTGCAACGGCCGCCAAACTTCGCTGAGGGTTGCGTCGCATAGCTATATCTTAATCCCAACAATCATAACTCATAATAACGGGCTAAGGATGTTTACGTGACTTTGTGTGTCTGTGTGTGTGTGTGAGAGTGTGTCTGTTACGAAATTCGTAGAGAGTGTTCCAGCCAACCTCCTGGGCTCAAATTTTGCACAGCGCATGCTATCCGCATGGAAGTCCAACACGCAAAAGCACGAGCAGATTCGTTGAGTGGATCCATCAGAAACTGCGCGTCAAACGGGTCCACTTTGCATTTGGGCCGCATGATTGGGTCCGTAATTCCACTTTTTGCAAAGTAGTGGATGTTTATGCCAAGTAAAAGTGCAAATCATGAACTTAGACCCAAAAAAGTTTTCAAAAGTCCATTACTTCAGAAAAACGGCGCCAAAAAGTATTGGTTGCGTAAATGGTCAATTTGCCAAAGTTTTAACAGACCATTTGACAAGATTTTTGCACAAAGATGTAGCTCACGGTGACTGCTATTCTTACTGCAGCTGTCAAGACCATGGGAAAATGAAAAACCTTTAGATATTTGCGTTTGTTCTCCTGCAAAAAGTCTCATCTACACGAAATCACCGATTTCACATAAAAAAGCTTTCGAAATGAGCAATGCCATCATTATGCGAGAATGAGTGGGGCCTAGATAGTAGAGCCAGTGCGAGCCTCTGCGAAGCAGAGGTGACGCACTGGTAAAAATAAACTCAGCTTGATGCTGCGCATCTACGATGTACAGAAGCGCCTGTCGGGGTAAGCTCGGTTGGCAGGGAGTATCAGCAGCAACTAATATATGTGCGTACTGTAAACAGCACAATCGGTTTCCTTGGATTCAGCATTCGTCCACTCTGAACCAAAATATGGCAATGCCATGCAATTCGGCGAACTCCAGAAGCCGGCGCAATTTTTTCCATCAGCTATGTGCAGCGCATCCTGAAATAAGCGTTACCGCTGCAGAATACATCCCGCTTCCATTGACTAACTGTATCTGATTGTGAGTAGCAGATCGCTAGGGTTCTCTTTTAAGTGTCTGGTTATTCCAAAGCATCTGTTTACTCTGCCACACATGCATAAGGTTTGTTATCTCTCGACGAGGCTGTAAACGTTTGTTGACTATCCATCGGGGTCAGCTGATAAGTGGAATTCGCTGTGTTGCGAGTGGTCAAAACAGAAGAGGTGTAAACGAGAAACGAGAAGCACTTTTTACCAGTTCGTTACAGTTGGACGATGATGAGGTGTACAATACGAATCCACAAGCCAACTATGGTGCACCGAACTATAATCAAAATCAGAATCCGTACATACAGCAGCAGCAGCAGTATGGACAGACACCAAATGTGAACCCTTTGTATGGACAGCCGCAACAGCAGTATGGACAGGCTGGTTGCTCCTTATTTTAGAAACTACTTCTGGCCAACACGTAATCTCTAAGTTCTTTGAAAATCTAAACAAACCCTGTGAAAAAATTTTGATGGGTATGGCTAAGGTCAAGCACCTTTACTAGAAGAAAATTTCCTGTTGCCCCCCCCCCCTTACCTCCCTCCCCCCTCCCCAAAACGAAAATCCTGATACCGCCACTAATATAGTATGTAGAGCAAACCGAATGATAATATCGACTGAAATCTGACAGTAGCCTTTTGCTTCCCGACCCCCTTCTCCGCCTCGAAGTGCAAGAATGCTTGGGAACTATGGTTCAGATCAATTTAGAATTTGAATTTTTCATTTCAACATACAAACACAAAGGCACGTACAGCCTAGTTTGTCGCTGGAATATATGTTTTTGCATGAGCAACGTTTGCACGTAAATAATGACAATATTTCATGGCTATTCATGAGTTCAAGTAGCAAGCAAGTTTTCGGCGTTATGCACGGGCTTTTGGTTGACTCAGGGGCACTGTATATTTACCAATGAATCACTAGACTGCACATACGGGAACTTTGCCAAACGAAAGTATCGATGGAGCCTTCCAAGAGTATCCCTTTATAGAGCTCCATCTATGGACAACAACCAACATACCAACAATATCGTAGGAAACGCCAAATGCCCGGTCGAATTAGCCAGCCAGGAATGGTCGTTGACCCGCTTCTGCTTGATAACATAACTCAGACTATACAGGTACGTTACGTTATAATACCATCATACTATACTTCTGTTTTACTTGGACAAAGCCAAACTTGAGTTGACGCGCAAACGTTTCAGTTCGGTTCGCGGTTTGCGTCTTTTTAGCCCCTTGGGTCAATGGATTTTAGCGGTCTGACCAACAATGAATAAGGGCGAACCGGATAAGTCTGGCGCCTGCCTGTAGTGGCAAGAGCATGCCTGAAACTCCTCATTCTCTGCGAACGAGGAGGAACAAATTTCATATTGGCTCCGCCTCCAGGACTTTATGTTCCTCGCACGCTATGCATTACGATATGCGCAATGATCAGTAGTCTGCGAAGGCGACGCCTAATCTCGGAACTCGTTCCCCTGCCCTCTTTGAACCATGACTGGCAATCGCCTATGTGGCGCAAGTCGTAGCCGTTTATGTGAGTGGGACAAGCATACCCCACTCACATAAAATGCTCGACTTGTTTGCGGTCGGAACAGACTGTACTTCATAATCAACACTTATCTGTTTAGGATGGATACACTGGCGCGAGCGGTTTCCGAGCAGAGCATGCTTTTATCGTCACCTGGTATAGAGTGAGCTCCATTCTGTAATCATGCGAAGAATGGGGAACGTCCAGTTTCAGATGGCTTATGGTGGAGCACCACGGGCTCTTGATGTTTCCCAGTTTGAGCATGTCAAGGACTGGCAAAATACATTCCAACTTGTTATAGCGTCGGATGAAATAAGGTCTTGTCCAAGTGGGTAATTGTATAACGCGCAAAATTCATTTAGAACATTCGCTATTTTCAACTACGCTCGATTGAACTGGACAACAAGCAATGAAGCTGGAGGTAAACATTTTGAAGGCTCCAGTGGAAACATCTATCTTATAATGAAGGTTTGAATGGCTTTGGAGGGAAACAGGCTGCTGTGGCGGGATTTAACGGAGGAAATGGGACTGGATGGTATCAGTTACCGTACTCTGGACATGGTAGCCACGTTTGAAGTGCAGTATTCTTGCAGCGATAATTAAACTTTAGGACGAATTTGGAAACTCGGTTACTTTTCAAATGTTCTCACCCCCGGTAGATGGATACATCGAATTGACGAAGTGATAATACCAGCGGGTTGCACAAATGCATCTAATGGTTGGTGCTTGATGATGACATTCGTAGACAGCTAGGAGGTATAGAAGAAATCATGCTACCATTTCAGGAGGCTTGATCACTGCGCCTCCTTGGGGTGTCATGCAAGGTGGAATGGCCATCAATGTCTCAGGGCCATGCTTCAGACCCAATGACAATATCAAGGTGCTATCTGCAGTCTTGACGCACCGTACATATCTGGATACATTTGCGAATACACAAAAATATTCGCATTTTATGTAGAAAGAAATCAGAATTGTTGCCTCTTAGACAACTTTTCAATAGTGTAACTTGATTCAGTCAAAGTTAAATCGAGCTTCTCCCCAATCTGCACTGCTCTACCCTTGGTTCTGAGACAAGATGTGATATAGCGATTTACCTGCGACTGCAGACTTTTAGACTTTAGATTTTGACAAGCTAGAGATTGTAATGAACCTAGAATTACCTTGAGATATTCATTCACCTTTGTTTCTCAATCCTCTGCCTCCAAAACAGGCTAAATGTTTTCTGATCAAGCTTTGGATGAAAATGTAGCTAAATATTGCTCAGCGCTGTCCATTCGCTTTGTTAATTGCAGGTGAATTTTGAAAACTGGCAGACCGACTGCAAACGTTTGAATCGCATACGAGCTCGCTGCATCATGCCAATGTTTCATAAGACAGGCTTGGTGCCGATCAGATTGAGTCGTGATGGCGGTCAAAGCTTCCCATTTTTTGGAAAGTTCTATGTCGGTTAGTGTTTTTGGCTTACAATTGCGTTCTTGTTTCTTAGGCTGCGTCCAGAGTTGCCCGTGCCAGCGCCTTGTTAGCGTCATGCCGGAACGTCGATCGGTCAGTGTGAGGCCCGCCCACTCAGGCGCTGACACGGCGCTGGCACTGCAGCAGCATTGCCGTGGCACATGGACGACTATGGACGCAGTTTAAAAAATATGACGACTTTTTTCAGTCGTTCCCGATCGTGCGCCGGCCCTAGTCTCCTTGAAGGATGATGTGGACGACATTCACAATAGATGGTAATACATCTTCTTTCCATGAAGGATGGTGACCAGTTTCAACGCAGGTATCAGCCTTATGCAGAAACATTAACAATGGGCTGGCAAGCACTCAATTTGACATACAACTATGGTGCTCGTGTCGATATAAGTCTCTTTGGATACTGGGAAGACGCCGATAGGTGGGCTGGAGCGTAATTGAACTGTTTGAAAACGTCATTTCTAGGTCACATTTTGTGCAAGTTGACTACCTTGCCAAGGGAGTACCGAACACCGGCTCTTATACTTTCAAACCACCTTCTTTTCAGCGGCAAACACTTTTGAAGGTTACTGTTCTTTTAAAATTTACTTCGCGTTCAATGTGCTTTTGAAGAATGCATGGCAGAAATTTACATTTGGTTTTGTACGAGTATCGCTGTCAGACACCGAGGATGGCGTGCAATGGAGCAAACCGACACCGTTTCCTTGGTGAGCACATTAGTTGATACTGCGACTTCAAATGTAGTGAGCAGATCAATGCGAAGAGACAAGATACTTTAGGTATTATCTCCCAGACTGGAAGAAACACTATGGCCAGAACTGGGCGTTGGACATGTGCATCGAATGGTTCGAATATGACGGAAAACGGCGCAATTTCCAGATGGATCTGACCAAAGATATTCCTTGTCCCTGCAAAATGTCTCAAGTATCCACAAAATCAGTGTAATATGGAGAGTTAGATGATTGAAACTTGCAGGCTTTGCTTGATCTTGGAAGGTACATGCCAATCATGGACTGTGACAAAGACGGTGACACTTCGTGCCCTTTCAATAAGGGTGCTCAGCACTGCATACAAAGCGTACAGCCAAGGTCCGTCCTCGTGATACTGTTACCCTCGGTTTCAACGACAGCGGCGCTGGCGCGCAGTCGTCCCGCGCAGCCGTCTGCTTCGACTTGCGCTACGTAAATGAGGCTACGTGGCAAACGCGACGCAGGATCCAAACGAGACTGCCGCGTGCCCGTGCTGCACGAAAAGCCGACTGTGCCATTAAGACAGAGTGTAGAAACTTTTTTAGATGAGCGCCCCTTTTTCAGCTCTGTCGGTTCCTCGCAGCAGTGCTGCTACGATTATGAGGGCTATCTCATGTTCACCGACGATTGGGAACCCGATGGCGATTATACGCGGTACGGTGCTGTCGAATGGACACGAACGGAAGCAAATGAGCCGTTGCAGATTCTTCCAGCCCGGCACGCCCGCTAGAGCTCATAAGTTCGGCGCACCTCCATTCCGTCAACCACCCTTCATTCCCACCATGTCAAACTACCAACTGGATCTAATGCCTTATAGGACATGTTGCACGTACGGTTGTCCTATTGCTTGCTGTAGTTACCTCAAAAGGTTTATTCAAGATATGCTCAACATTGCGAGTTTTACTATTGGCGACGAATGACAAACGGTTGCCAGGACTACAAAGCCCCCGCAGCTGGGTCGGTTCTTTGCATAGTTGGTTTCATATAAGAATTTGTGAAGCTTAGTTTTAGCTACATGTACGGGGAGCCACACGTAGTGACGTTCGACGGGGTCAAGTACACGTTTCCTGGTAAAGGTTACTTTGTTCTTCTTATGAGCGAAGACCCTACCCATAAGTTGATGGTGCAAGTGCGGCTCGAACAACCTGACGATACGTTATGTGAGAAGTTTTCAATCTATTATGACAGTACTGGTAAATCGCGTAGGAGTATACAATACCGCTCACATTTTTTGAAAAATAGACGCGAGTGTATGGACATGTCCATACATCAGCGTCGCGTGGCCATATATCGCTTCAGAGTGGACGAATTCTGAATCCAAAGCCACCATTCGATTCAGTTCGGCGCGAAGAATCTTCTGATATATTGGAAGTGGGGGTGCGATGTCTTCGATATTTCGTTTTCAGTTTTTTCAATATGTTCTGCGGAAATCCTTTCGCGAATATGTGCAGCAACGCCTATCCATTATAGAAGACTTTACTGAGTACTGTTCGATAATACTGCTCATGTAGATTATTGTGTGCTAAAAAATAGGCTCAGACTTCTTTCTACAGGAGATAGAAGCGTTGTGAATTTTAGAAAAATCACGCGTTTTTAAATTCTACTCGCCATAACTTCCTTCGAAATGAGTATATTTTGAATCCGAAAGCAGCGCCTTGCTCAGCTCGTCAAGCGAATCTTCCTGTATACAGTGTGCCTTTGATATTTCGATTTCAGTATTCTTGAATCTTTCTGAGGACGTTTTTTCGCGAAGGTGTAAAGCAGCGAGCATTGCCCCGAGTACATTCCAGCAAGGATCTTTGGATAGCACGTTTTCTGTAGATTATGATGTGCTAAATAGTAGCCGCAGGTTTCTTTTCAAAGGAAATAGAACGGCTGGTGAACTGTGGAAAAATCTTGTCGTCCCAAATTCTACTCGCCATAGCCGCAAGATACGAAGCTATCTTGCTAAGCAGATGTGAGTTTCGAAATCAGCAGGTCGGATAACCACTGTGAGCAAGTTTTCCGATATGTTCGGGTTATTCCATTTTTTCTCGTTTTACGCTCCAGAAGCACGCCGATGGATTTTGGTCAACATGTTGATGGTCCTGATTTGTAAGGAAACTTCGCTTATAGAGGTTTTCGAACACGCTCTTTACGAAAATCATGGTCTTTGAGGATTACAGGGTCTTTTTGGAGAGATACGGTGAGGTGACTGTAACCTCATCACGAAAGTGCGTCTTTGGCCGCACTTCTCGCGTATCTTTCAGAAACCTTGCCTGCTTGCTTTTTTCAGTGAAAGTTAGTAGGAACTGTGCTATCGAATGGTGCATGACTCAAGCTCCCGTCTGTGAAATTCGCCGAATTACGAGCCTACGAAAACACGTTCTCATAAATTTTGCTCAAAATGTAAAGATCGCATATCTCGTCGAAATTCCTCCGTGAGCGCTTGTATGACGCTCGTTGCAGATATTATGTTCGCTTCGTCGAACGGCTCCCACTGTATTGAATATAGTGCTTGCGTCTGCTTCAGCTGCTCAATTGAATATCAAAGCTATTTCGTGGCTAGAGCTCAGCACCAAATCCAACACAATAAGGTCCATTAAAAATGTGGAAAGATTTGATCAGCGCGTTGTACAAGCGCTCACGGAGAAACTTCGACGAAATATGCGATCTTTACATTTTGGGCAAAATTCATGAGGACGTGTTTTCGTAAGCTCGTAACTCGGCGAATTTCACAGACGGGAGCCTGAGTAATGCACCATTCGATAGCACAGTTCCTACTAACTTTCACTGAAAAAAGCAAGCAGGCAAGGTTTCTGAAAGATACGCGAGAAGTGCGGCCAAAGTTACGCACTTTCGTGATGAAGTTACAGTCACCTCACCATATCTCTCCAAAAAGACCCTGTAATCCTCAAAGACCACGATTTTCGTAAAGAGCTTGTTCGAAAACCTTTATAAGCGAAGTTTCCTTACAAATCAGGACCATCACCATTTTGACCAAAATCCATCGGCGAGCTTCTGGAGCGTAAAACGAGAAAAAATGGAATAACCCGAACATATCGGAAAACTTGCTCACAGTGGTTATCCGACCTGCTGATTTCGAAACTCACGTCTGCTTATCAAGATAGCTTCGTATCCTGCGGCTATGGCGAGTAAAATTTGGGACGACAAGATTTTTCCACAATTCACCAGCCGTTATATTTCTTTTGAAAAAAAACCTGCGGCTACTATTTAGCACATCATAATCTACAGAAAAAGTGCTATCGAAAGATCCTTGCTGGAATGTACTCGGGACAATGCTCGCTGCTTTACACCTTCGCGAAAAGACGTCCTCAGAAAGATTCAAAAGTACTGAAATCCAAAAATATCAAGGACGCGCTGCATATAGGAAGATTCGCTTGACGAGCTGAGCAAGGCGCTGCTTTCGGATTCAAAATATACTTATTTCGAAGGAAGTTATGGCGAGTAGAATTTAAAAACGCGTGATTTTTCCAAAATTCACCAACGCTTCTATCTCCTTTAAAAAAAGTCTGAGCTTATTTTCTAGCGCACAATAATCTACATGAACAGTATTATCGAACAGTACTCAGTAAAGTCTTCTATATTGGGTAGGCGTTGCTTCACATATTCGCGAAAGGACCTCCGCAGAACAAATTGAAAAAACTGGAAACGGAATATCGAAGACATCGTACCCCCATTTCCAATATATCAGAAGATTCTCCGCGTCGGGCTGAATCGAATGGTGGCTTTGGAATCAGAATTCGTCCACTCTGAAGCGATATATGGCCACGCGACGCTGATGTATGGACATGACCATACATGTCCATACATTCGCGTCTATTTTTCAAAAAATGTGAGCGGTAGTGTACAGTGCGAAGACTTCGGGCTAGGTCCATGAAAGTCCTTGAGGTACAGTCACGGCTATCGATGACAGACACGATACGGATCCCTTTGAGGCCGAAGTGTCACGTTTCCATCGCTTCCGTGCTTTGGTGTTTGTAGCACAAACGTATGGCTGACAGTAACTATGGCCGCACCTTGAAAGCTGCGCTAATTATGAAGACAGCTAACATCTGTAATTTCCTCAGTGAGCTATTTTGAGAAATCTTTGAGTAACTGCAACAACATTCGCGAATTACTAGATCCAGGCAGGTGTTTGCTGTGTGATAATCAATTGTGCCCCTTCCTCTCCCAAGATCTATTGACAGGGAATGTATTAGGCCGCTGCATGAGTTCTGTCCGACTTTTTGCCTTGTGTTTGGAGCGCCTTTTCTAAGAGAATTTCATCTCTAATGCGGTACACTTAGTATCGTTAGAAAGTGCGCTTTTTGCTCTTTCTGATGCTTATCAAATTTCGATAAATTTTTTATCGTGAGGAGATTTCAGACCTAAAATCCCCAAGTAGCCCAGGTACTTTCTCACCCTAGAAATGCCTTCTTGCGAGGAAATCTCCACAGTGCGCCCTTCAAATCAACTTCTTTCACTGGTTTCGGAAAAAGGGTGTAGAAGACTAGTGTGTGCAGAAGTTCAATTCCATGCAAACATTAATCTTTTGTATAGATGCTTTACAAGCAATAACATTCTGTGAATAGAAGTAATCGATGAATTCAACGTTGGAGGTGCTAGGGTAAAGCAAGAGCTAGCAGGACCTATCCACCTATTCCTTTTCGGCGCTCACATGTATTGTAAAATTTTCATGATTCGTAAGTATGCATCCACAAATGTGCTGAAACGAGGTCAAAAAGTGGCTTCTTTTTTGCTCGGTTAAAAGAATTTCTCGGCAACGCAGACTAGGGTCTTTTTTGTTGCAAAATAATCTACGAGAATTTCTCTATCTATCCATTGTTAGATAAGATGCCTATCAGTTTTCGTAAGGGAGCATTGCCATGTCAAAAAAGACAGGTTTGAAGAAAGACACTGTGAAGATTCTGAGTTCTTGCTTCTTCCTTAACAGTGATTTTCGCAAGTTTCAATATGTGTCTGATAGGAAAGGAACTACTCAACACATAGTAACTAAGATCTGAAAAAAAATTGACTTCGAAAGAAGTTATGACATTCTGAACTCCAAAATTCAAATCGGACAGAACTTATGCAGCAACCATATGATGCAGTTCTCACACCCATGTACCTTAGGCTGTGTTTATACTGATGCAGAAGTTTGAGAACGTTCCAGCACAGCGCTCGTCTGAGTACGAAAGCAGCCTCAATAGACATGAGAGGGAATATTGCATTCTGGCGTCGCCAACAATCAGAGTGTGAAAAAGCTTTCTTTCTCAAAATAAACTCTTGAAGTCGACGCTATTCCAGTATATGAGCCCAATTATGTGTCCCCACTTATAAACCTAATTTGATGTCGAATTCAGGGCACTCGCATGTGAATGCTACAGTGATCACTGGTGTTGCTGTGCAGGAAAACGACAGCTCCATCGTGCAGGTATGAGGGTCAGAGAGCATCTTTACTAAACTGACTGTAGCACCGAGCATAGTTCACGCGATTTTCCGGACGGGACACTGCTACGAGTCATCGAATGCCGATTGCGTGTCGATTGTCGACACTATCCGACAAGACTGATTGCTGATCGAATTACTAAGGCATATTCTCACACTCAAAAAAGTAGTTACAATGTGGCTAATTCTCAGCGAGCCGCTAATTTGAGACGAGCAGTACGACCATGTTTTCTTGCAGAAATGTTCAGAAACTATCCAAATGTAAATATAGTGATTTTGCCGTTCTTCCACTACTCCAAACCCAAAGCTTTCGAATTACGGACTTCGCTCAAATTGATCTATGAAATCATTTGAAATGGCAATAGCTAATACACAGTCAGCTGGCAGTTACAGGGCTCGGCACGAGGTGCTTTTGCAATTTTTGGTAACGAAGTCCTCGCTGACTTCGAACGAAAACGCGACAACCCCATGACACGCTTGGAAAGGGCTAAACAAAAATAACAAAAAAGAACATCAAACAGAAGACGTATATACCTAATGATGCTAGTTTTCTGCGATTTGGCGGCATGCTGTGTCCGGTGCGCACCACCGCGCTTGGAGCAGGTTTGCCCTCGCCATTGAAAATTTTCAAAGGGCTGTATCTAGGCGGGGAGGAGGGAGTCTGAGGAGGCTGGAAAACTGATTTGTAGGGTTTCGGATGTAGATCAGATTTACGTAAAAGCTATAAAGAAATTATGTAAAATGAGGGAAATTTACGCTGTGAGCCACCCCAGTGGCTCTCTAGATGACCCGAAAGCCACCTAACTCCGAAAAAAGTTTGCCACAACTTCAGTTCACATGACTTTTTTTTATAATTTTTCATACATAGGTCCAACTCCCTACTGCTCGCCTACACGCAATTGTGGTATCATATCATTTGTTCTTTGCTGCAAACAAGTTTGTTTATTTCGAAGCACATTTGAGTTCCCGCGCTTGTATGGAGATTTGGAAATTGTTAGTTTTGCAGAGAATGGGAGCGGTAGGGAGGTGATGAGCACTTGCGACATCCTCAGGAGATGAGAAGGTGGAGTAAAAGAGGAGGATGACTTTAGGGATGGGGGTAGTTGTGGGGGAGGTGGTGAATGGAAGTTGAATGAAAGTTGGGGCACTATTTTTATGACTCATGTGACAATAGCTATGGGATATTTCGTATTATGAAGAAGCGCTTGTCACGTTAAACTTTGTTGATTTGATGAACGTAAAGTTGGCCAACTCCATGTTCTTTTACTCAGCTTATGTCATCTAAAAATGCAATGCCAGATTACCTTGCGTGATCGCAGTTGAAAACCTTTAGCACTACTATGACTCTGATTTCACATGAAGGGATTAGCGATTTCTTCACATACACCATACTAAATGCTGCTGAATTTTTTTTAGCGGGCTCCGCTTCAGATTCCGCAAAAACATTATGCTCTTTGCTTTCTTCACCCAAACGATATTCAACCTGCTTTGTAAGCCAACCGTGCCGAGCCCTGGGCAGATAAAGACATTTTGTAGGTTACGACAGGTACACGTAGGGCCAAAATGCGGCTTTCAAATTTGCAGCAGGGTTAATCGAGTAATAACGATTATTACCAATGGGACCCGCCTTGAAGTTGGTGGCTCGGGGAAATTGCGACTGCGAGCCCACAACTACTTGGCCTTGTGGGCCTGAATCTAGGACTGTGCTTTCAAAAACAAAAACAAAAAGTGCTTTTTATGGAGTTTTCCGGCCTTGGAGATTGCAGGAAAGGGGGGGGGGACTGCAGCAGAGAATCCCTCCCAAAAACAGTGACTGGCAGGAAACTGTAACTCTACTCATTCAGGCAGCAATTGGCTGATTGGCTGATGTAGCCAATCGCTCCTTAGATGGCGGGAACCACTCGCCAACCTGGGTCCTTCAACAATTTCCAAAGCCGGAAAACACCATAAAAAGCACTTTTGACTTTGCAAGCGCATCCTGCACTCATGCATCCGGAAGAGCAAGAAGTGATGGAGAGCTTGCTGATGCAGTTTTCCTGAGCCACTGTCTCAAACCGCTGTCATAAGGCGTTACTGTAATGTACATAACGACACGAGCAATGATCAAATAAGCCAACTATGTAAAGTTCAGTTTCTGAGACTGCATTACCCTATACCCACCACCGTCTTTGAAAATGGTCTCAACATAGAAACGGTATCATTTTAGTGTTCACTAGATCGAACAACCTCATAGGAAGTTCAAGCTATCCATGAGTTTGTAACAAAATGTTTAAACGCATTTAGTTGCTGTAATACAGTAGTGGTGTACCGAGGGGCGGGGAAGCTGGGTGTTCCCCCCCCCTCCGAGAAAGGGTCGCGAAATTGTTGATAGTTATTTACATTAAGAATAAAAGGATAAAGGATTCGGCGTTTTCAATACCCTCTGCAGGCATGCGCCGAACGCACACTACTTCATAGTCGAAGAGGCAGTTGTAGTGTGCGAGCCTATACAGTGACTTGCGGAGGCCAGCCGATCACCGAGTCAGTGCTTTTATCCTCCCAGATTACTCTGGTACCAATTTGCCGGCCTCGGAGGATAGGGAGCTTGGTTGGCCCAGGGGCTGGGATTGAACCTGTGTCCGAACTGGTCATAGCGGCGCCTCATACCGCTGAGCCACTTGTCCCCCATTATTTACATTAGTTATAAAAGTGTGCAAATGACTTGTTGATGCTTAGTGATCAAATTGATTTTTTATCAAAGAATTTTCTGGATGCTAGCTAACGTCGCGCAAAATTTCCTCCCCCCCCCCCCCTGAACGGAAATCCTGGGTACGCCACTGCTGCAAAAGTATGCCCATGAAAAGAGATCTTTACTTCTAGGAAGTCGTATTGATTCAGTCGCGTGAAGTATGACCGAGGCTAGTCATCAAAAGCGAATCAGCGCAATTTTTAGGTGTTTGCACGAAAACCAATGAGGCGCTGGCGCTATCGTACCGATGTGTATGTGGATGGTGTGCGGCGCTTCTTTGATAAGCCGCATTGGAAATATCAGCAGTTTCGCAGTTTGTCATCGCAACAGCACGGTATCCACTTTTTCAAATTTACACTTTTCCAGACGTCGACTTGCGCAATCCTTTACAAAATATGAACCAATCGGAAATCGTTATCATGCTCAAATCCGGAATAGGCATACGAGTACATGAAAGTTACGGCATGCTCGATGTTATGGTAACGTTGCCTCCTAGCTACAACACAACATGCAAAGTATGATTCACGATCTGCAAAGATAGTCAACACATGCATCATTACAGCCCGGCATCACCGCTTCGTCTTCACTAAATTCGGTAGATGGCGCAAACAGATGTTACACAACTTTGGGCTTGCTGGGTAATGTTTGCATACCATAGATAGATGGATACGAAGAGGGTTTTTAAGACAGAAAATTTATATTGTAATGGTTTTAAAAGAAAATTATGTTGCTCGGGCGGTTTTGATTGCGTGTCTTTGTTGTCTAAAAGAACATTTCTCTGTTTGCAGGCGTCTATAACAATGATCCGAATGACGATCTGACTTCTTCATCGGGGCAAGTGACCCGATCCAACGGTGACACATTCACGGCAGGCACCACGCAGATGATATATGAGCAATTCGGCATTACATGTGAGCCGGAGAAGTCTTGAAGATAATCCTCCTTCATGCCTTTTCCAGGGAGAGTAGACGGCAAAAATGAGAAGATTGGAAGCGTTCTCTTCAGCGAGCAATTCAAGCCTATATATAATCCTCTCTTATTCGCATCGACAGACTATGCACCAGTATACTGGCCACAATATTTGGACATGAATGCGTCGAGGGTATTTACAATAGAACAAGTAATCTTTTCTTCTTTATTTTTATTCCACTTTTATAATTCCAAAAGCCAAATGTCATTTGCTAAGACTTTGACCCGGGGTATTTAATTGACATGCTGATTTCGAAAATGGAACAGGCTGGCTCAAGATGAGTGTCGCGACTTTAGCGGATCAGGCCCATATAATGTGGGATAGCCTTGATGAATTGATGTCTAAATATCCTAAGATGAACCACAGTTTTGATACCTCGAGAATATAAGCAAATTAATAACCACAATTTGTAAATGCGGGTGTGCGCTGTCAGAGTATACTCCAGGTATTGTTGATCTCGCCAGAAATGTCCTCATATGTATCACCATCAAGTGACTGCCTTTCGGTCGTTCAAACACGTTAACCAGCAAATTTGAGTTCATTTAAGGTTGACATGTTAGAACGATCGAAAAGCAGCCAAGTTGATGGCCTCGGGCAGAGTTCACGCGATTAATTGTTGCGATTTAATCGCGACAAGACAAGTGTTACGAGTTTATTGCATGCCCCGATCTTCTTGTATTTCGGTCATGATAAGTCACGAATACGTGTTGGAAAACTACCACAACCGAAATGCAAGAAGATCGGCGTGCAATGATGTTGTTAATTATCTTGTCGCGATCAATCGACAAATCGCGTGAACTCTGCCCGAGGCCTATGGGAACATTTCCAGGGACAGACTTGATGAATACGGCCACAGCATGTTGAACAACCGCTCTATGCAAGGCCCAACATTCTTTACAAAGTTAATTTAGTTTCTAAAATTCTTTAAAAATCATTATAATTATTTAAAAATGAAATTAAGTCGCTTTTATGACATATGTAAGTAACCTTCAAAAATTTCGCGACCCCTTTTCGGGAGGAGGAGGGGGGGGGGAGCGTATTATTTTGATCCGGGTCGCATAATTATTCGATTATTCGAGTAAATTATTTGAATGCGAATGATTCGAAATATCGAATTTTTGGAAAATTTGAGATTTCGAATATTTTTCGAAAGTCGAATATTAGAAAATCTCAACTTCCGAATATTCGATAGTCATCAATTCGATCATTCGATGTTCATCGAATATTCGATGAGCATCTAATATTGGAAAAAATCAATGCGCAGGCTATTCCAATATGATGAGCATCGAATATCCGAAAACTTGATATCGATAGCGTATACGGGGTTCCTAGGAGATCATTCATACCTTACGAAGTCCTTTGCTAAATTTTGGGTATCAGGTTGTCCGAAAATCCCCCACAATGGTCGGCCGCTTCAACATGGCGTGGAGGTGACACTGTGGCTCGTAGTAAATTCCGTAATATGTCGTGATGTAAAGAAAACAAAGTCATGACGTGTCCGACAGAAGACATACTGCTCACGCGTCTTGGTCGCCGCGAAACTTGTGTTCGCTCGCGCGATCAAACCCTTCGATGATTGTGGACGGCGCGCCTGATACTGCGCTACTGACATCTCTTCGATGTCGAGAAATTAAAGTTGAAGCTAGGGAAGCGAAGATGTGACCGACAAAACAGTCGCTTGCGACACCTATCAAGCAAATCGATAAGCAAACTTTGATGTGTGTTAGCCTGAATGTAAGATATAAGAGCATGCACTGCTTACCACTTTCATTATCAAGGCGCATACTGACGGCGCTATAAAGGCAGGGAATAGCGCAGCGTCAGGTTGGAGGGAGCTGAGCTAGCGGTGGCGGGTACGAGTACCATATAAGGTATCTTTAGCAAGTTGCTGGTAAATTAATTTCTATGTAAGTGAACGTATTCGCTAGTTTTTTTGGTGATAGGGAAAAATGTCAATCCAAAGCACAAAATATTGACAATACACAAGACAAATTGGAATATTATAAAACAATCACTTTTTTGGTACAAACATGAGCTATTCCGTTAGCCATAACGCTCCCTTCCTCAAATCAAAGTGAAACGCTGAGCGTACAGCTAATGAACAGCAAAACAGCATATAGGTTATAAAAGGTATTAAGATGGAAGAAAAAAGGACTGAGACATGCAGAAAAAACTTGGCGCGCAAATGAGTTGCGAAATGAGAATCAAAGGCGAATCAGTTTAAACACGATAAGATACGAATGAGTAGAATTATGATGTAATTTGTAGTCAATAACAACTCACTTTTTCCAAATTACGAAGAATATAGCAGCTGGAATTCTTGAAACAGAAAAAATCGCACAGCACCTTAACATTTGGGCGCTTATCAGCTGTTGATTTCGATTTAATTTGGCGTGCTTTGAACCTAGCGCTGTGTGCCTACGGTCCCTGCGCACAGGACGGACACGGCGTACTCGACCCCAATCGGTTGCGCCTTCCTGCTCCTCCACGCTGGGCGCACTATTTTTCGTTGTCTGCCCTCAAGTGGCGACGTTCACGACGTGCTCGATCTCTGAGCATGAGGGCATGCACGTCTTTCAGTCACGACGCCCCGCGATTCGTCGTGCTGCAATGATAAGTAATAGCCGCTCGACTTATCGCGGTCGAAACGACACGTGCTGGGTACGATGTGCGATATTTCGAATGTCGCAACCATCACGACGGGGGGATTACTACGGCCTTAGGTGTCGAATTGCGATGCACAGCCAAGTGTATACTTTGGCACGGTTTTCCAAGCTGTGAAGGAGTTCAATATTTCCGGTTTTGGTCAGATGCCTAGCAAAGAGCCGGCCAGGCCAGATCTCCGCCGTCTGGTTTTCTGGTCACTAGGCGGTTCTCCCCGCTCCACACCCGGGTCAGCGATCGTCACGTGGAGAACAAGAGGCTAAATCTGCTCTTGTAGGGGAAAACTTAATCACTCTGTTAGCAACAAGAAATGAAGAGAAAACCCTGTTTATCAGACCCCGCCTACGACGCCGGGTGGTAGCAAAAACGATGTCAGGGTCCTCAGAGCGCCTTTTGGGTCGGACAAAACGGCACGTCTGGGCGGGACGACACACCTTGGAGACTGCTTCTCTGCACCTACAACGCCAGAACAGTCTCCACAAAAGCCAACCTCTACGCTCTTTTTGACGCTCCAGAGCACATCAAGTACCACGTCATCGCTCTGCAAAAAACGAAGTCCAGGAAGAAGGACGTCCGAAGGGTACGAAAGGTAGGTGATGGACCCCATCATACGAGGTGTGAAGGTTCCATCACGAAACGTTCGAGACGTTGGCTTTGTCGTCCACCCACCCATCATCCATCTTGTCGATTCGCATGAGACCCCATCACCATCACTAGCTATCCTACGACTACGACTTCCACGTCAGAAGACCATCAGCATCGTCAACTGCTACTCTTCAATATCTGCAGCTGATAAACAAAACCAGATGCTTACTATGAAGATGTGGAGGAGGTCCTCCGCAACAAGAATCCTTTCACAGTTTTGTTGTGGGCGACTTTAACGCGGAAATCTGGATGACACGAGAGAAGGGATATAGGATCGGGAAGTTTAGATGGGCTCCGGAACGAAAAAGGTAACGTCTCCTTGAGCTTTTCTCCGCCGCACGACTTTTCCGTGAAAATTCCATCTTCGTGAAGGAGAAACATCGCCGGTAGACATGTAAATCGCCCAGCGAAACGACTCAAGCGGAGATCGATCATATTCTCACCAACCGAAGGTGGAGCTTCCTCGATGTCTCAGTAGTTCCATTATTCTGCAGTGGCCCGATCACCGCCTCCTTCAAGCGAAGGTACGATTCAGTTGAAAGCTGGAAAAGAAAGTCTGCCACAGTAGCGCAAAAGAAAGAATGTCCTTTATAACGCTAACAGGCTGGAAGAGCTCAGTCAGTTGTGACTGGCCATCGAGAAAACCCAACGTACGACTAGGACAGGCTTTTGTAAGGATTGCGAGCCTGCGGAGAGTGCGCCTTATTTACTTTCGTGAAGAGCCTGTAACACATTTCGATGACCAGCAACTACTCGAAAGAAAAAGATCACTGAGGCAAGATCCGAGTGCAAGCATCTCGAGAGACTGACAGCCAACTGCAGGACAGTTTTGCAGGAGGACCTCAGGAAGTACAGGCAAGATACTGGAAGCAGCCCAAGGAAGATGAAGTCTGAAGAAGTGCCGAAGGGACTTTTGTGAATATCACGTACCGCTGGCTGCACTATTGAACAAAGACGGGACCTCGACTTCACGATATAGGATGAAATTTCGCGAAACCAACCTCCTCCGTTCATCGACACCCGTGTCATTGCCCATTGTTCCTATTGGAGAAGTATCACCACGAATTCTATGCTGAATTGCGCACGGCGATTCAGACCATGATGACTTCCACTGCTCTAGGAGTAGCCATCTTTCCGTCTTTCTTTCTGCAAGCACAACGTCTATACGAGATTTTCGCGTCGCACTTCGTCTCTGTTACGCAGCTGAGATTTGGATTGACACCGTAGCCACGTCGAAAGCTCTAAGGATCACCCACATGACGCTAGAGCGCAGTCTTCTAAAAAAAAGACTCGACACAAACAATGTCTTGTCGGACTACATAGTGGATATGATAAGAATGCCCCGTCTTCGTGGCCCAGAGGGATAAGCTGCGAAAGCGAAGCATCGATGGGTCAGTCGTATTATGAGAAGAATAGATGACAAATGGACAGACACTAAGAACATCAGAGTAGACTCCTCGCGAAGCAAAATGTCTCCGGGGAAGACCTTCAACGGGTGGGCAGACATGTTTGTGGAACGGAGGACCAGCTGAGAAATCAGCTGAATACTTTGCACCTGAAACGACGCAGCCACCGAACAAGAAGATCGTGGATGTCTGAAGCGAAGGACAGGGACAGATGGAAACTTTTGTGCTGGGACGAGGGATGGGTGGCGTAGTGATATGAGCCGCCGCTATGACCAAATCGAACGCAGGTTCGATCACCGCTCCTAGGCCAACCAAGCCCTTTACCCTCCGGGGCCGGTAAATTGATTCCAGAGTAATCTGAGAGGATAAAAGCACTGACTTGGTGATCGGCTGGCCCCCACAAGTCACTGTATAGACTCGCATGCATACAATTGCCTCTTCGACTACGAAGTAGTGTGCGTTCGGCGCATGCACGCAGAGGGTATTAAAGGCGCCAAATCCTTTATCCTTTGATCCTTTATCTGTGCTGGTGCCCACATGTCACGTGAAGACGGCCATCTAAGTATCTCAGTAAGTATTTAAGTTGTCCGAAAATCATCGCAGGTTCCCTATGCGATTGCGGCACTATTGATACATCAAATGTAGAAAGCATATCTTTCGATAAAGCAAAGCAAACTCTGCAAGACTGCATTAGAAGTTTGTTTCACTTGAAGTTTGAAGGCAAAATCCAAAACATTCGAAATACCCAAGAATCAGATCTCCGTCCAACAAATTCTGCGGACCTCCAACTTAGTCAGGCATATGCTCTCTACATCAAACATTTATATGCGCCTTTGGGCCTAAGGCATACTTCACCGATTCCAGTTGCTACGCGATCTGGCACTGCAGCGACTCTTCGTAACTGGTTGTTAGCGCGCTTTGCATGAACGACTTAAAGCTTTTGCTATAACTTACGGTAGCTACGCGTCTATGCACTTAGAACCCGCACACGCCTGATCTGTAGATATCTGGTAGATATCTGGCAAACTGGCAAATCGCGTGGATGTAGAGATTTGACGAAATCGCGGAGGTATGCCTTAGGCCTTACCGCATTCTATAATGGCTGAAAACAGAAAGTTTAAGACGGAAAAGTGCGAGATAATTTTCTATCTCGGATATACTAAATTTAATATTTCTCGGAAACTAGACCTTGGAGGGAGCTTGAAATCTATGAAGGTACTTTCCAAGATTTGTAGCATAGAATTACCTGCGTCAGAATGTCTCGGCGTTGTATTTGCTAGGGCATGCCAACTTTCACTTTCTCAATTCCTAATTCTGAAAAACTATCGCAGTTGCACATATGAATGCGGACAGTATATGCCTGACCAGTTTGGAATTCTGTAGGATCTTTTAGACAAAATCTGTTTTTTGGTTTGGTTTTTGCTTCCAGACTTTACGTGGATCATTCTTTGCGATCGTTCATTAATCGAATCGCGATCGAGTAAGAAACTTGCATTAATATCCGGATAACCTAATAACATCCTGTAAGGATGCCCTCAGCTTACATAGAGCAAGCAAATCACCCACGCTTTGGATCACGGTAGGAACTTCCAGCATAAACAGCAACTGCGAAGTACGATCCGAAAGAATTTCTTTAGAAAAGATGAAAATTAGTTAAAGCAGCGTTCTTACGTATGCTGATTTTATTATGCACAAGTTTTTCAAGGTTTTAGATGTGCAATT